AGGAGTCTAATGCCTGTGTCTGACTCCTGCTTGGAGCAGCTCTGTGACCCCTTCGGTCAGGGCTGGGCTATTTTTTGGGCTCTCTCTGCACTCTCATGCAGGCTCCTTGAGCGCGCTCCCAGCGTGGCAGGATCCCCCGCCTGGCTGGGCTCGCATGTGCTTGCCCCAGACTAGGGGGCTTATGCGCGACCTCGCGTACTCGTCTGGCCCCCTGGCCGGCGAGCTCAGTGGCATTGGTCAGTTTAGGGTCTTCTATTGTGTATTTTCCCCGCTTTTGGCTCTTTGGGTGCGTTGCTTGCCCTCGCCAAATGAGGACTACGGAAATGGGAGGAAGTCAGCTCCAGGACTCTCCAGTTAATCCTGTCTCTGGTCTCTCCTCCAGGGACTCTGGGCAGCTCTACTAATTTTGTGGGCCGCTCCGCAGTCGCTGGCGGGTGGGTCAATTTACGCCTGCCCTTGCTGCTCTGTGCACTCCCTCGCAGGCCGTATAGATGCCAATCTGTGGGAGGCCTTGCCGGCCGGTGCAAGCATTCGCCAGCCTGCGCGGGTTACACACACGCTCGCCAACCCTCGCTGGTCACTCGGCGCAAGTGTGCGCGCCTGCACTGGGTGTTTTGGGGGTGTCTATGTGTGCTTTTCGGCTTTTGGCTCTTTGGGGGTGTGGCCTCTTCCCGCGCAATGGAGACTACGGCAAGGAGAAGGAGTCGGGACTCCCCGGTTCCTCCTCCCATTCTTTCCCCAATGCCTCCATTTCCAGACTCTTCTCAGGGGCCTCCTGGCAGTTCCGTGACCCCTTCAGCCAAGGATCCACCCCCAGTGCAGACTGCGTTTCAATCGCAGGCAGTCTGGTTCATGCGCACCCCGCTTTTCCTCTTTGGGGTCGCGCCTTCCAGCCCACAATGGAGACTACAGAACGGGGAGGGAGTCGGGACTCCCTGGTTCCTCCTCCCGTTCTTTCCCCAACGCCTCCGTCTCCAGTCTCTCCTCAAGGCTCTCCCATCCAGTCTGCACTCAGCCCCGCAGCTCACATGCGTACAAGCTGCGTGCGGAGCGCACAAAAGGCAGGTTAATTGATTCCGTTACGCCTGAGCGAGATGATAGGCTGCAGAGTGGGAGGTGCGTTATCACCCGGGCTCCACCGGCCACCGTGTCAGTTCTCTTCACAAAGTTTTCCTCCCCAGTCTTTTCCCAGGCACCAGCCCACCCTGCTGCCGCCTCTGCCCAGCGATCAAGGAGGGTGGCTGCCGCTGCAATTTTTGCGTTTGCCCTTTAAATGTCTCTTTGCATCCCCAGCCACCTGTCTCTGGCAGAGAGCGCCCCTAAGCTTTTCGGGGTTGTGTTTTGTCTGTATTTTCTTGGCTTTAGTTGCTGTAGTTTAGGGGTCCCTGTTTATGATTCAGACCCTGTTCTTCTCGGGGGAAGCTATCTGGCCGTTTCAATGTCCCTCTGGTGCCAGTGCCTGTGGGCACCCAGCCCACCCTCTCGAGCCTCCACCGCACTTCTCACCCGTTGGGATGTGTGAGAGTAGAATCACTGTCCGCGGCACCAAGGCTCCTCTCCCACTATCGCTCCACTGCTTTCCAGGTGATTACTCCATTATTTAGTTGCAATTCCAGTTTGGTTTTGGGAGGAGGTCAGCGTGACTCCCATTCACTCCTCCGCCATCTTCTCTCCCCTCCCTCCTTCAGTCTTTAATCTTACTCAATGGGTTCCATCTATCTACAGAAAAAATGAAAAACATTTAAAGCCTCAAACTAGTTTGTATAAAACAGCTTAAGATTATTTTTAAAATGGATTTTAAAACACTCCATCAGATTGGGGAAACAGGTCATTTTGTTCTTTAGTTGGTGTGTGTTTGTCTGTGTTAGTTTTTTTATAGATTTTTTTCGAGTTACTGATCTGTAGCTCTTGACCTCAGGGCCGCTGGCAAGGCGTGGGTGAGGCCCGGAGCTCCTGGGCGTCTCAAGGCTGGACCTCTGACCTACTTTAGGGCTCTGGGCAAGTCACTGAACTTGGCACCAGCTGCCTCCTGTTTGGGAGAAGGGGCAGAAGGCCAGATGATCTCTGGGAGCTGTTCCAGCTGTACGGTCCTGGGCCGTATGTATGCCTGCGACCTCATTCCCTGCCTTAGCCGAGGGTTGCAGGTGTGATTTCTTTCTGTGGGTGCTTTCTGTAACTCGAGAGCAAGCCCAATTGTGGGCTCAGCTGTGAGCTGTTGACCCACAGCAGAGACAGAGACTGTCAGCTTTTCCTTTTTCTTTTTCTTAAAGAGCAACAGCTTTTATTTTTTTATTTTATTTATTTATTTTACTTTTTATTCTGGAAGTCTAAATCTATCATTACAGTGAGACTGTTTAAACATGGTTTGATTTCTAATGATCCCAAAGGTTATGTAATTAAAAAAGAAACCTCCTAAGGACCGGATACCTTGTGACTCACGGGAGGTCCCTCGGGGAGCGTAGAAACAGAAAGTAGATGGGGGCAGGGGCTGGGGGGGTTGAGGCGGAGGAGCTAGTGTTGAATGGGGACAGAGTTTCAGTTAGTGAAGATGAGGAAGTTCGGCAGACGGATGGTGGGGACGGCCACACAGCAGTGCAAGTGCACCTAATGCCACTGGACTCCGCACTTATAAATGGTTAAGGTGGTAAATTTTACGTTATGCGTATTTTACCATAGTTTAAAAAAAACCCAATGCACACGCAAATCTATAAACTTACTAATACACTCAAAATAAATAGCTATACTAATCATGACTAATAGTGGCTTCTTATTAGCATCAATATTGTTTTCTTTTTTAGCTTTATTGAGGTATAATTGACAATTAAAATCGTTAGATATTTAAAGCATACGTTGTGGTGATTTGATATTCGTATCTGTGCATTGTGAAAGGACTCCTCCCATCTAGTTACTTAATATATCCATCCATCACCTCACACACTTATCTTTTTTTTTTTTGGTAAGAGCTTTTAGAATATAAACTCTCTTAGTATATTTAAGTTATACAATACAGTCTTATCAACTATATGGCTTTTTATTGCAATAAAATACATATGACATAAAATTTACCATTTTAATCATTTTAAGTGTGAGTTTAGTGGCATCACACACATTCGCACTGTTCTGCAGCCATCACTACCATCATCTCCAGAACCTTCTCATCCTCCCAAACTGCAACTCTGTCCCATTAAACATTAACTCCCCACCCCTCCCCTAGCCTGTCTCCTACCATCTACTCTTTGTCTCTATTTGAGTGTCCTAGGTATGTCATTATGCTTTACAGTCACAGAAAACCGTGGGACACCAAGTGTCATGAGTGGGTGCTGCGAAGGAGCTATTCTTGCCACCTGATCAAAAGTCCCTTCTCTCCAGAAAATTGTCAGGACACCGTGCCACGCCCCCTCCTCCGAACCCCTGCCCTGCCACTAAGGAAACCCTAACTTTTTTTCTATCCGTAATGCCATCATCAGCCCTCTAACAGTTACCCAGCCAGGCTATTCCATGCTTATTAACAAATGTAAGAAGTATTTTTAAGAGTCCCTTGTAGGCCTTAAAGCTGTGTAAGTGTTGGGGCTTTCAAGTAGACACTCACCATTCATAGAAAGATACTTAGGGCTCATTGTCTATGGAACCCATTCAAGGGGAGAGGAAGGATGGAATTTGCTTTGCTAAGCAGACACTAGTAAGCACCAGACAGCAAAGGCTGGTGGCAGGAAAGGGGGCTTTAAGGGGCTGTCATGGATTTTGCCCCTAAGGCACAGTGCGCATTCTTGAAGTTGGACCAAAAGTATGGCTGTGAGGTTTGACCTCCAGGGTGAAGACGCAGGTAGCCATGTTACTTAAAAACAGCTTTGTATTTGTAAGACTGCCACCTTGAGAGGTTGTTTTGGGTTTTTTAATTCCCTTTCCTAAGCTGATTCAATCAACTTCCCCCTTCCCCCCACCACCGACTCCCCACTCCCCCACTCTCCTCTCATCTTCAGCCCAGGGTTTCTCTGCTCAGCAGGGTGGGCGTTTCAGGCCAGAGAATAGTCTGGGATGAGACTGTCCTGTGAACTGCAAGATGACCTGCAGTGGCCCCGACCTCCGCCCTTGGGAGGCCAGTAGTCCCACTGCCCCGACCTGTCCCAACCACCAGCACTGCCTCCAGCGTCCAGTGTCCAGTGGTGCAGAATCAGCTCCTGGTGAGAACCACCGCTCTAATCTAAGTTATGCGTTCCTGAAGGAGCTGTAGATTCTTGTATTTGTGCTGCACAGTTTGATGGCTCCGTTTGATTGTTGGGTCTCTGAGCCAGACCCCCTGGAAGTCCTGGTAGAATTCTGCTCTGTCTTCTGGCCTCTACAGTTATGTGGTTGGTTGATTGGCTTGATTCATTCATTCATTTGTGACTTGGATCCCCTGTTCTTTTGTAACCCACTATTCTCTCCAATATCCTCTTTTTGCTACCTTGGGTCCTTGGTGTCTTTCAACATGCCAAGGAAATTTCTGCATCATGGCCTCTGCATGTGCTCTGTGCTCTGAGCTGCTTTACACCACGATGTGCGCACGGACGGCTCTTTTCTGTCCTGAGCTCCGGGCTGTTCAGCAGCCGCTTTCTCTGAGGCCACCCCATGGCAAATAGCATCCCATTACCTGCTCCTTTGACCCTGGCATGTGACCCGTGGAAGATTTATTTATTAGTTTATTGTGTATTCCCTACCCTTTTCTGTAGCCCCTGTGCACTAGAAAGTTCCGTGAGGGCAGGGACAAGCCTGGCTGTCTTACCGTCTCCAGCCGCATGGGGATATGGTGTCCGACAGTATCTGGGACATGTTGACACACACCTTCTCAGTTGGCATTGATTGGACTCTCCTGTGAAATGTCTTTCCATGATAGAACTTGAACCCAGACCCTGGTCCCAAGCTCTGTCCTGTGCACCCAGCTGCTCTGAGCAGGCCCCCTTTGCTCTGCCGGTGTGTGTTTTAGGGGGAGATGTGAGTCTGCCCGTTCTGCCTCACCCTAGGGTTGAAGCTGCCATCCCGGACCTGGTCCCCTCCGTTTGAGTCAGAGGGTTCCCAGAAGCACAACCAGAGTGACGACGAGGAGGCTGCCGGGGAGTGCTGCTCCTGCCCGAAGACCGATGCTCAGATTCTGAAGGAGCTGGAGGAGTCCTCGTTCAGGAAGACGTTTGAGGATTACCTGCACAATGTGGTTTTCGTCCCCAGGTCAGGGGTTTTCATTGATTTCAGTTTGGGGGCCGGGGTCATGACCTAGGGAACAAGATGAAATGCGGACTGAGAGAGTGCGCAGAGCCCATGCTAAGTCTCTTCTGTGCACAGAGGAAGAGAGCCTGTGATTTCAACAGGACCCTTACCAGGAAGAGCAATATTATTGAAAGACACGATATGTTTAGAAAAGTCAGACTTTGCTTTCCCAGAACTCTTTAACCTGGCCTCTGGTATCCGTCCAAGTCCTGAGACGAACTTCATAAAGTTATTGACGTCAGTCTTGAGAAATAGCCTAGGCTTGATTTATCACCAGTGTCAAGCTCAAAGCATTCTCTCTTTTTAAAATCTATGCCAGCTTCTCATCTTTCTGGAATTTTCTACAGCATCTTCGGACCCAGAGACTTCTCCTATTTAAATATGTTGCATTTCCCATTAGTTTGTGGAGGGTGTATTTTGATCTACTGAGAGGGTTTGCAGTGATAATGACTCCAGGTTTTTCATGCATTTTTACTTCTGCAAGCAAGTACAGTAAGGTAAAAGGCAGGTTTTGGGTGGGTCTCAGTTGGTGTCACCTCTCTCAGTGCCTCAGTTTACTCATCTGTAAAATGAAGGTAATAATAGTTCTTCTCTTTAAGGATTGTGAGATGCCATGAGTCATATGGGGAGTCTCAGCCTTGACACTGTTGATAGTTGGAGCCAGATTGTTCTTGGTGGTGGGGCTGTCCTGTGCATCGTAGGGTGTGCAGCAGCCTCCCTGGCCTCCCCTGTCTTGAGGCTTGCAACACCGTCTGTATCATGTTAGTTCGTTAATTTTTATAGCCACCCATTGAAGCAGGTGCCACCTCCCTTACATGGATCAAAGCCTGTGTTTCTGAGCAGACCAGGACTTGTTCCAAGTTATCCTAGCAAATGTGTGACATGGGCTTTGAGTGGCCTTCTGCCTTTTCACCCTCGACCTCTCCTCTTCGCCCTTAAAGACCTTAGCAGACAGCTACCCAGAAATGTCTGATGCAGTTGGCCATTTCCAGAGTGGATTGAAACACAAAAGGTTTACATGGGATAAAACAAGATTCTAAAATGTGTCTCTTCGAACCTCCCCCATCACTTATAGGTTAGATGTTTCCTTAGATCCATCAACACGTTCGTTCCCTCTCTCCCTCCCTCCTTCCCTCCTCTCTCCCTTCCCTTCCTTCCTTCCTCCCTTCCTCCCTCCCTCCCTCCTCCCCGCCTCCCTCCCTCCCTCCCTTCCTTCCTTCCTTCAGCAGGCATTGAGACAGTTACCCTTTTACTTGCTAAAAACAAAATGCTGCCGGACTTGGGGAAATGGCTGAGTTGGTTTTGATTGTGGCTGAGTTTAAATGTAATCAAGTTTGACATCCAAGGGAAATCCCAAATGTCCACGTCCCTGGGAGGTATTTTCTCTAATTTTTTTTCCCTCTTGCTAAATTCTCCACACCTGCTGGGGGAGATGTGGCCTAGGCAATGGGGAAAAGTTGTCCATGGTGAATGGTAGGGTGTCTTTGGGCTGTTTGCACAGAAGGTGGCTTCCAGGGTGTTAGGAGCAAGAGGTCTGACTGAAGAAGTTCTGTCTGTACTCGAAGTAGTTGGCTTTGTTTTCACCGAAAACCGTCCTCAGTCTCTGGTGCTGAGAACAGTAGGTATGACTCACCTGTGGGGTGTGCACGTGGCCCCTGGGGGCTGCTCAGCGCAGGCCCGTGGACCGGGCAGGGCAGAGAGCCTGCTTTGAGAGACCCAGGAGCTTCTGTGGCTCGATGCATGCGAAGGGCAGCTCTACCAGGACTGGGTGCTTCACAAATTCACACCCTTACCACCTTCACCCTGAAGTGGGATTTGGGCGTAAATGCGGGAAAAAGTCTTTACTACCACGTCTCCTAGGTGCCACATGTTTCCTCCCTGCATTCACTCACTGAACATATATCGGCGCCCACTGTGTGCACTGAACTCTTCCTGCACCCGGAGTCTAAACCATGTGCAACAGGTAGTAGGGAAGGCTGACCTGGAAACAGAACATTGTTATTGGGGGTGACAAGTGTGGGACTAAAGGTGTGATCAGGTGCGCCATGTCACTGGATCCCACTGAAGACAGGGAGGCATGCTCCCCCTTGAATGGACCTCATTTGTTCTCTTATGACACGGCATTGCCCTGGAGGAGAGGATGATGGGCAGACAGAACAGGAGCGAGGGGCAAGGCGGTAGAGCGAATTGTGGGCTCTGGGGAGGAGTAGGAGGCAAGACTGGAAAGGCAGGGTGGGGCCAGGCAAAAGGATTTTCAATTTTATTTTTATTGAGGTATAACTGACTTACACCATTATATTAGTTTCAGGTGTACAATGTAAAGACTCAATATTTATATCTATTGCAAAATGATAATCACAGTTAAGTCTAGTGAACATCTGTCACCTCACAGTCACACATTTCTTTTGTCACAAAAAGTTCATAGTCACAAAGGTTCTTGTGATAAGAACTTCTAAGCCCTACTCTTGTAACAGCTGTCACCCATGCAGTGCAGCGTTGTTAACTCTGTCCCTCCGCTGTGCATTGCATCCCCAGGACATACTCATTTTATAACTGGAAGTGGTACCTTTCGATCCACGTGACCCACTTTGTTCAGCCTGGTGATTTTATTCTTTAAGCAGAGTGTTTCTTTATTTACTTACGTTTAGGCATTGCGTGGCTAATGCCTCCAGTGGCCACTTGGAATATAATCTTGTAGAAAAGAGGCCGAGAAATTTGAGAGCTTTGTTGACATCCAGCTTTCTTGATCTCAGCTCTGTTGACACTTGGGGCCAGATTGTTCTCAGTTATGTGACTGGCCTGGTCTTCCCTCACTTGATTGCCAGCAGCACCACCTCTCTCCCAAGTAGCGACAATCAAAAACGTCTCCAGACTGGCCCAGTGTCCCCTGGGTCTGGGATAGGGGCAGAATTACCCTGGCTGAGAATCAGTGGTCTAGTGTGCAGGTGTGGGGTAATAAAATGCTGTGTTTGTAGGGAGTGGAAGGACCAGTAGATGTTTCGTCATGGCGGTCTTCTGTGACCGATTCGTGGTCTTTATGGAGATAATTCTTTTGGTATATATGCGTTTTGCCTGTGTGACAAGATCACTTTATGTACTTGGTTGTTGAGATGTCAATTCCTCACTTACTCATGAGGCATCAGCATCTTGGTAATTTTTTTACAACCCACTGTGACTTACAGAAATGTTTGAATCTTGCTAATATGGATAGGTCTATGGTTTCCATCTGAGAGTGTCACTGATCTTTCCATACCAAAAGACCACAAGGAAAATCTTAATGAATAGGCCTCAAAGTAAGGTTTGTTCTCAGACCACATGTTTTCTGACTACAGTGTAATAAAAACTGAAAGTTGACTTTAAAAAGTCTGAACAGAAAACTATACTTCCGGGTAATTAAAAGTCAGTTACTTAGATATCTGTTCATCAAAGCAGGAGTGGAAACTTTCATTAACATCTGTTTGAAAATTAATGGAAATGCAAATCATATACCTTAACCTGTAGAAAAAATTGCAAAGCTGGGCTTTGAGGCAAATCAGTAGACTTCTATGGTTTCTTAACTTAAGAAAAAAAAATGTAAAAATATAAATATTAGGGGCAAGGGGAAAATCAATATGGCTAAACTTGTAAATAAAATCAAAGGGAAAAAAATCACAAATAACCAGAAGTTGAAAAAGGTGACATAAAACTAGCATCAAAGGAAGATTTTAATCTGTTGCATTCTTTTGACAATCTTGTGTTACGCAATTTGAATATGCACTTTCAGTGAGGTGGAAAATTTTAACCTGTCCGAGCTGATTCAAGAAGAAGTACAAAAATTAAATATTCTTATAACCTTGAAAAAAGACTAAGAAAAGATGTCAATTAAGTTTCTTTAAAAAAAAAAAAAGGACCCTCGGCACAGAAAATGTTTACTAGCACAGAAAAGCAGTTTACTTCCTGTAATATGGAAACTTTTCTAGAGCATAGAATCTTTGGAAATTTACCCAGTTCTTCTTCTTCTTCGTCTTTTTTTTAAGGAAACTAAAATAATACCTTTTAGCAGAACCTGACAAGATGTTACATTGAAAGAAAACTCTAGGACCAGCCCATATGGGACTTTAGACACAAATGTCCTAAATAAAACACAGCTGGCAGTTTTGTGTGTCGCAGAGGGGCAAGTTGGAGAGACCTGAGAATGTGATCTAATTCATCAGGAGGTCCAGTAAGAAAAATCCTGTAATTCATTTGATAACGTTAAGAAATTCTAGTTTAGAGAAAGGAAGGAAAAAGAGGCAACAAGATAAATATTACCTAGATCAAACCAACGGCTGAGCTAACGTCATTCTTAAACTGTTCCTGTTAGTCGGGAGGACTCCAGCGCCATAGTTACTGACCTTTCTCTGGGCGCCTAGCTAGTGCAGTTAGACACAAAACGGAAATTGGAATATGAAGGTGGACTGTGCAAAATAAAATCACTATTTGCAGATAGTCTGGTGCTGGGCTGGGTGGGTGCTGGCCCCGAGCAGCTGGCTGCTGGCAGGGGGGTGTGTTCTGAACGCAGCCACTGGCGGGGGGAAAGAAAACACACCCCCCTGTAGTGGCTGCCTTTAGAACGCAGCTGCGCCAGTTTGTTTCCATTGTGTCTGAGGCTGGGCTCACGCTGCAGTGGCTTGAAAGCCATTGAAGGTTGAGTGGTTGTCACAAAAGCCACATGTCCCACAAAACCAAAATATTTGCTCTCTAACGCTTACGGCAAAAGTGTGCTGACCTGGTTTCTGGTGTGTTCCTTGAAAACCCAAGAAGATCAACTGTGAAACCCTTAGCATGAAGAGTTTGGGAAAGTAGGGGTAATATAAATAAACAAAAGCCTGTGGATACACTAGCAGTAATTAGTATATAAAACAGGGGGAAGATTGCTTTCATAATTGCCATAAAACCTAAGTGACCCCACATACAATTACCTGTGAAAAAATTTAATTTGTATTATATTTTATTGTTTATGCTATTATAGGTTGTACAACCCCCCCCCCCCCCGCCCCCCCGCTTTAGGCCCTCTCTAGCCAGTGTGTCGAGATATAAAGTTTTACAGAGAAGTGGGAAAGTCTGTTACAGGGTCATTAGAAAGCTTAAAGAAAGCTTGCGGCAAGCAGGGGCAAGTCACGTAGCACGCCCGGCGAGGGCTGCTCCTTAAGGGGTGGGCAATGCAACGGTGAGCGGGAGGAGAGCAGGGGGCCTCCAAGGAAACAGGGTGAGGTGGGCAGCTCTCTGGAGAAGCACCCAGGAAGCTATAAAGGTAAGAAAAATTCCCACTCAGCAGGACAAAGAGATACAAATAAAGCAGTAGAGTGATGCTTGAAAAAAAATATCAGGTTAACAGTGTGAAAAACAAAGCAAAGGAAAAGGAAACCCCTTTAACCTTACTCAGTGTTGCTGAAGTACAGTTTTATGGGCCACTGGGGGCCCTCAAGTCAGTGCCAAGGTCCAGATAGAAATCTAGCCGAATGTGTTAAGAGGCACACCCTTCTAGGGATTGATGTTTAGGACCTAATAAGACAGTCAGACAATGACCAAAGCAGTATTTATAACAGCAAGAAAATTGGAAAAAACACTCTTCTATTAACAATACAGGAAGATGGCTAAATAAATTGTGGCTCAGGCAGGAACTGGAGTATTTTCCTGCTCGCCGAGTTTTCTGCAACAAGCACGTGTTACTTTCATAACAAGGAGGAAAGTCCTCATTTCACATTGAAAAAGGAAAATGTAAATTCTTTTCTACTGAATATACTATGTTTTCAGGAAGACATTTGATAAATACTTCTAATACAAGTGAACAAAGTATTATAAAACTAGCTTGTTCCTCATCAGAGTCATGCATAACATTTCTAGGAAAAACATGGCGCACTGGAAACAGTAGGCAGTAGAAAGATGAGTAATTTAAATTTTCTTTAGATTTTTCTTTGGTACTTCTAAACTTTTAGGCTACCAATACTTATTTTTTAATAACAGCTTTTAAAGAGGGAAAAGTGTGTCATTTGCATAGGCGCTTCTTTGGGGTTACTTGTACCAGCCCAAGTGGTGAGATTCTTTTACTAACAATTGAAGTTGAATCACTCAGATTTGCAGGTGCCCTAATGGGGTGCAAAAATCAGAACACAAGTTCCTCCTTTTTAAACTTTTTAAACTTTTAATGGTCAGTGGCTCAGAGTGTTGGGCAAATAAATGCCTTTTGGCGGGACTTCCTGAAAACCTTGACTCTTACAGGCTTTTGGCATCTTATTTTTAACACAGCCGCGGCTGGTCTGTCACTCTGCAAAATGGAAACCTGAAACCTAGCTTGCTGAGGGCAGCCTCGTTGTGTCTGATGGTGGTCCTGGCGTCCCCAGCCCTGCCTGGGTGGGCCTGTGCCCAATACTTCGGGTGCTTTTAAGGGCATCATAAAAGCTGCTCTGGGTCGTAATTCCGGGCAATTTGCATTTTAATTCACTGGCTCTCTTGAATCCCAGGGCTCTACAGTCTTTACATTAAGGCTCTCATTATCCAGGAGCATTTACTTAAAGATGGTACTTGCATGACTTGTGTGTCCTGCTGTCGTGACAGGCCATCAAGGAAACGCAGGGCTCTTGGTGACGAGGGGAATGTGACCACGGCCATGCCCACAGTTCCTGGTTTCCCCAATACTTCGTCTACCAGCGTGCCCACGAGCTTGGAGGAGAACCGGCCCTTTGAAAAAGTGGTAAACAAAGAGTCACTGGTCATCTCTGGCCTGCGTCACTTCACCGGCTATCGCATCGAGCTGCAGGCTTGCAACCAAGATGCCCCCGAGGAAAGGTGCAGCGTGGCAGCCTACGTCAGCGCCAGGACCATGCCCGAAGGTGGGAGGCACATCACAGGGCCAGGCACCCACGCTGATCAAGGAGAGGCCCTTTCCCCTTGTTAACTTACTTACCTTTATTGTTTTTCATTTATTTTTAGTTTTCCCCAAACTTATACAGTTGACATATAACATTGTGTAAGTTCCTGTAACACAGTGTACAGTGTATTGATTTGATCCCCTTACATGTGCACTGATTATACTGCATCTACCACCATGTCAGCTAATACCTCCATCAGCTCATGTTATTACCAGTTTTTTTGGGTGTGTGGTGAGAACATTCAAATTCTACATTCTTAGCGCACAATACAATATTGTTAACTATAATCACTGTACCTTACACTAGACACCCAGAAACTGGAAGTTTGTACCCTTTGGCCACCACCTCCCTATTTTCCCACCACCCAGCCCCTAGTAACCACCAATCTACTCTCTGTTTCTACAAATTCAGCTTTTTTAGATTCTACATGTAAGTGAGATCATACAGTATTTATATTTCGGACCTGTCTCACTCAGTGTAATATCCTCAAGGTCCTATTGTTGCCTATTTTATTTTTAATTACACTAGTCACACAGAGCCATTATATAAATATTAAGAATACACACAAGCCATAAGAAAAAAATAAACATTACGAAATACATATATGTAGTGTATTAGTCTCGGTTCTTCAGAGAAACAGAACCAATGGGATGTAAGATAGACAGACAGACAGACATAGATACGTGGACAGCCCTATGAGGTGAGTTTCATATGTTCATTCTCCAGCAAGGGAAGTGGAATATAGGACACTTACGTAACCAGCTCAAGCTGGGTAGTTGGTAAGTGGTGGAGGTGGGATTTGATCCAGGGGTCAGGTCCCTGCCTCTAACAACCACTGCTCTTTACAGCCAAGGCAGATGACATTGTTGGCCCTGTGACCCATGAAATATTTGAGAACAATGTCGTCCATTTGATGTGGCAGGAGCCCAAGGAGCCTAATGGTCTGATTGTGCTGTATGAAGTGAGTTACCGGCGATACGGCGATGAGGTAAGGCCCTTGACACCTGGGCATAAGCCTGCGAGGTTGTCATTGGTACCCCCTTCCTTTTCTTAAATTCTGGCTCAAACGCCTCTCTTGTTAGGTGCTTCATTGTTGGGACTCAAAGCCTTGATATGTAACTTTCCAGGGAGATGGGTCAGAAATGCCAATCCACAAACTGTCAGCAGTTTCTCACGTTGCTTTTCAGGTGTGTCCTACAAGTTGAATGATGGTTGCCTGCACTTGTGTCCTTCCTGACATGACAGGAGACACATCTCACTTTAGAGGTATATGAGTCTGGAAATACATCACTGACCAGAGTAATAAGTGACATTATTGGTGCCTCTCTTTTCTACCAGACACTGGGCAGGGTGCAGGGTGAACGCCGAGATGCACATGACATGGGATCTAAGAACAGAAAGCAGCTAAGCCACCCCCGAGGGCTCACAGTGTGCCCTGCACATATTAAGCTCTCATACAGTGTCTCATGTATTGTATTTTATCACATCTAAGATGTGATTAGAGGCCGTGTTATTTTTATGGACCACTGAAAAACAAAAAAGGATGCTGCCACCTCTAACAGTGAGGTGGAGTTACCTCTACAGTGTGTTCCAATTCTAGAAATGTGAAAATGTGAAGGTGATATGCCCCTTGGGTCCCATGGAGTACAGTAAATGCTCAGAATAACTCAGTGAGCTTTGTGCTGAGGCTTCTAGAATTTAAATTGTGTCCAGAGTCATAAGAATAGATTCAAACCCAAGTCTATCTGATGTTCTAATCCAGGGGTCGGCAGCGGTAAAGGACCAGATAGTAAATATGTTTGGCTTTGTGGCCAATCTCTGTTGCAAATATTCAACTCTGCCATAGTAGCTTGAAAGCCACCATATAGGTGATACGTAAATAAATGGGTGTGGTGTGTGCCAATAAAACTTTTCTTCTTTTAGGTGAGATCAATTGATTTTATTTATTGTTTCAATGTCAAAGTTAATTATAAAATATTAAAAAATTTAAAACCATTATAAAGTCTCAGCAGTTTAACCAACATGACACTAGCACAGAAATAATCAAGTAGATCAATGAAATATAATGAGCATTCTAGAGACAAACATATATCTAACAGCGTAATATATGATTAAGTTGCTGTTTCAAATCAATGGGTAAAATAAGGCTTATTCAACAAATAAGGTGCATGGACCACTGTTACTTGAAATAAAACAAATATAGAGCCCTATTTTACACATTCTGCAAAAAATATTCAGGTGAGTTAAAAATCAATATGTAAAATCTAAGGAGTTTTAGGAGAAAATACAGAATAATATTTTTCTTACCCTGAAGTAAAATATTCAAACCCAGTAGCTATACAATAAAATGTTGACAATATGACTATATTAAACACTTAAGACTGTACAGTAATATACATATAAAAAAAGTTAAAGGACAAGTAATAGAATAGGAAAGTATTTGCAACACATCTGAAAAAAGGTTTTTTTTTTTTTTTTTAGGGAAAAAAATCTATAAACATTTAATCAAAAAATGGATAAAGAATACCAAAAATTCATTTAAAGCTTTTTAAAAATAATAGAAATAGGCAAGAAATATACAAAAACAGGTTTAGTTTCAACAAATAAAGGGATAGTTAAAATAACACATCATTGTCATAATCAGATTAATATGTATTAAAAGTATTAATAATATCAAGTACTGGTGACTCTGAAAGGACCTGGGTATTCATAGACTCGTTTTCTTCATCTTAAAACAGTCCCTTTAGCATGATATGCAGTGTTGGTTTGGTGGAGGTGTATTCCTTTAGCCTTCTTTTGTCTGGGAAACTCCTTATTTCACCTTCCATTTTAACTGAGAGCCTTGCTGGGTAGAGCAGTCTTGGTTGCAGGCCTTTGCTTTACATGACTTGGAATATTTCTTGCCATTCCCTTCTGGCTTGTAGTGTTTCTGTTGAGAAGTCAGCTGCTAGCCGTACCGGGGCTCCCTTGTATGTTACTACCTCTTTCTCTCTTGCTTCCTTTAGGATTCTCTGTTTGTCTTTGATATTTGCCATTTTAATGATGATGTGTTTTGGAGTGGGCCTCACTGGCTTCCTCTTGAATGGGACCCTCTGTGCTTCCTGGACTTGTGTGGCTTTTTCTCTCCTCCTGTTGGGGAAGTTTTCCATCATTACTTTTTCAAACAGGTTCTCTAACCCTTCCTCATCCTCTTCTCCTTCTGGCATCCCTATTATACGGATATTATTACGTTTCAGGTTGTACAGCATTTCCCTAAATGCCTCTTCATTCTTTTTGAGTCTTTTTTCATTTTCTTGCTCTTTCTGGGAGGTTTTTTCTACCTTGTCCTCCAGCTCGCTGATTTGGTCCTCGGCTTCAACTAGCCTGCTTCTGATTCCTTCTACTGTGTTCTTCAATTCAGAAGTTGTATTCTTCATTTTCTCTTGTCTCTTATTGATAATTTCTATGTCCTTTTTCATGCTGATATAGTTTGCAGTAAGTTCCTTGTAGTTTCCCTGTAGTTTTTGTAATTCTCTCTGAGCTCAGTAAGGTTATTGAGCTTCCTTAGAACCGTTGTTTGGAACTCAGTATCTGATAGTTTGCTTGCCTCTATTTCATCTAGTTCTCTTTGTGGGGATTCCTCCTTTCCCTTTGACTGGGGGGTATTTCTTTGTCTTCTCATTATTTGTGAGACTCTTCTTTTTTGCTTTTGCTTCTTAAATTTATGTCTTGATTTCCTGACTTTGTGGTGTGAACTTCTATGGTAGGAGACTGCTGTTTTTTTTCTTTCTGGATCTGTCTCTGATGATGTCAGATGTTGACCCTGTCTGACCTTAGGCAGTCTGTTTGAGACTTCCAGGAATCTACTGTCTGTGGCTGTCTCCTTCAGCTGTTAATCTAGTCACTCTGCACTCAGCAGGCCAGCTTAGACAGCACAGGGAGGGGTGGCGTCCCTCCTGGGGGCGGGGTTATTGGGTCCTCTCAGTTGCTGCCGTATGGGGAGGGTCAGCACCGGGATTCCACTGGCTGCTCTCTCCTTTCTCTCCCCAAAGCCTCCATCCCCAGTCTGTCCTCAAACATCTCCAGACCTCTCTGCGCCCCCTTTAGCCAGGGATCTACTGTCTGTGGCTGCCACTCTGCACTCAGCAGGCGGCTTAGACAGCACAGGGCGGGGTGGAATCCAACTTGGGGGCGGGGCTGTTAGGTCCTCTGATGCTGTTGCCACTCAGGGCAGTGGTCTCTGCCTGAGCAAGATGGCTGCTGCCGCATGGGGGATGAGTCAGCACTGAGATTCCACCGCTACTCTCTCAGTTCTCTCCCCAAACCCCCCTTCTCCAATCTCTCCTCAGGCATCTCTAGCCCATTCTGCCTCCACCTTTGCTGGAGACCAGGGTAAATGGCTGCAAATAAAAATTTATGCGTTGGCCCTTTAAACGGTTCTTTGCGTCTCCAGTCGCCTGTCTCTAGCAGAGAGCAACCCTGCCGCTTTTCTCAGCTGGCTGTTTTCTGTGTACTTTTTGGGCTCAGGTGCTGCGGGCTAGAGTTCCCTGCTTATGGTTTAGACCCCTCTCTTCTCAGGGGGATCCAACTGGCCGTTTCAAAATCCTTCTGGTGCTGCCGCCTGTGGGTGCCCTGCCCACCTTCTCAGGTCTGTACCGTACTCCTTACCAGTTAGGTTGCACTAAAGCCGATTCTTCTGTCTCCGAGGTTAGAAGGCTTCTCTCTTGCTCTTGTTCAGTTATCTGTTCCAGGTGATTTCTCCACAATTTAGTTGTAATTTCAGGTTGGTCCTGGGAGGAGGTCAGTGTGACTTCCACTCACTCCTCAGCCATCTTGATTCCTCCAATAAAACTTTATTTACAAAAACAAACAATGGCCCAGATTTAGCTTGTGGGCCATAGTTTGCCAGTACCTATGAGAGGTTATAACAGAACTGTGTGATTTCTTGGAACTTTGGTCATCCTGTAACCAGGTAGGCAGAGCATGGCTTCCTTTAGCCAGAAAAAACAGGTAGGCCTCCCTCTGTTGACCCCTTTTGGTACCACCTCTACCCTTTGTGCCCAAATATTCAGCTCTGACAATGATTTAAAACTGAAATCAGCAAACTACAGACCTGTGATCCAAATCTGACCTGAGACCTGTTTTTATACGGCTGCAGAGAGTTGTAAAAAGAAACAAAGAAGAATGTGCTCAATGTGAATACAATGGCCAACCCCAGCATCAGTATGGGAGGGGTCTCTCAGGGTTGCATATAGAGAGGCATGACTTGCAGAGGGTCATTGTTGCAAGATTTGTTAGTATCTTATGCTGTGTATATTGATCCCATATGTCGCAAGGAAATAATTCAGAATGGGGGGGATAAAAACTTTATTATGAAGATTTTCATCAGTAGCAAAAAGTACAAGCCAGAGGATGTATGTCTGTTGGAAATGGATACATAGAAAATGGTATATCCAAAAAACAGGTGGATGCACAGGTATCTATATATCTATTTATTTATTTATTTTAATTCTTACCTCAGGACATGCTTATTGTTAGAGAGAGAGAAATGGCAAGAGAGAGAGAGGGAGAGGAACATTGACGTGAGAGAGAAACACCAGTTGGTTGCTTCTTGTGCACCTCCCGACCAGGTCCGAACCTACCACCCAGGCGTGTGCCTTGACCAGGAAATCAGCCCTTGAGCTTTTGGGCCACGATAAAATGCCCCAACCAACTGAGCCATACTGGCCAGGGCTGGATGTACAGCAGTTTACAAGGGAATACGTTTGTTCAGTATAACATAGAGGTTGAGATTACAGGATCCTCTTCTTCCACTATCAATTAAGAAACCCTCCCACCCCCATCAGACTGACTTATGGCACAAGGAAAGCTTATTAGCACCCATTACTGGACAATTTAAGGAGCTCAGGCATGGCTGGATCCAGAATTCTTTTGGATCAGTTGTATCTCAAGGGTCCTTACAGTGAGCCCAGCGGTCCCTGCTTGTCCTTCTCTGGTTCCCGAGGTTCCAAGCCTCATATCCGCTCAGCACCAACGCTGCCAGAAGAGAGAGTCTGTGTCCTGGCATCTCACCCAGGCTGAGGCCCCAGAACGTTCAGGTGCCAGCCCCATGGCTGGGCAGTGCTGCGTTGTTGATGGGCTCGGGCATGACCGTCTTTTCATAACAGCTTCATTGGATACCTTCACATGTCATAAAGTGCACCCAATTAAAAGGTGCGATTCAGTGGTTTTTAATATAATCACAGAATTGCGCAACCGTCACCACAGTTGATTTCAGAATATTTTCATCACCCTCAAGAGAAACGTCATTTTCAGTTTAGACATTTGCCCCCGCCGTCTTCCCGGCCTCCTCTCTCTCCAGCTTCTGGCCATCACTCCTCCGCTTTCCATCTCTATGGATTCACCTGTTCTGCACAGGTCATATGAATGGAGCACATCATGGCACCGCCTTCTTTCATTAGTATAATGTTTTCAGAGTTCATCCACATTGTAGCATATATCAGTACTTATCCCTCTTTATGACTGAAGAATATTCTAGTGTATGAAGAGACCACATTTTGTTTATCTATTCATCCATCAATGGACACTTGGGTTATTCCCACCTTTTGCCTAATAGGAATCGTGCTGCTATGAACATTTGTGTACAAGTTTTTGTGTGGGCATATGTTTTCAGTACTCTTGGGTGCATACCTAGGAGTGAAATTCCTGGGTCATATAGTAACTCTACATTTAACTTTTAAGGAAATGCTAAGCTCTTTCCCATAGCAGCTGCACCATTTGTTATTTCGACCAGCAGTGTATGAGGGTTCCAATTTCTATACATCCTTGCCAACCCTGTTCCAGTCTACATTTTTAAAAAATGTATTTTTTTAATCCTCCCCTGAGGATGTATTTATTGATTTGAGAGGGGGCGGGGGGAGAGAAACTTCACTGTAAGAGAGAAACATCAGTTGCTTCCTGTTTGTGCCCCGACCGGGGACCGAACTTGCAACCTACATGTGTGTCCTGACTGGGGATCAAGCCCCGTAGCCTTTTGGTGTATGGGATGATGCTCCAATCAACTGAGACACCCGGACAGGGCTGGTCTCTTTTTGATTATAGCCATACTGGTGGGAGGGAAGTGGTATCTCATTGTGGTCTTGATTTGTATTTCTGTGATGTCTTATTTGGGTCTGAATTTTGTGCCCTTCCCCAAACCAATGGGACTCTATAGCTCCAGGCTATCAGGGTGTGTCCTAGAACAAGGATGGGGTGAGGGTGGGAGGCAGGAGTCACTCAAGGGGGAGGCACAGTTTCCGAAGGAAGTCTGGGGTGTTGTTGATAGCAAGGAGGAGAATACAGATTCTGTGCAGTGAGCAGCATGTGTTTTCACTGCAGACTCTCCTTGGTTTTATTGCTGCTGCTGTGACCAGTCTACCCTATCTGCCTGCAATTTTCCAGTCTTGAGCACTGGTCTTACCTCCATCCTGGGAACCCCTTGGTCACTGGTAAACTGGGACCACTGGTCACCCTATTGGCATTAGCCCCAACCCTGTGTTCTCCCAGCTGCCTCTGCTGTTCCTGGAGCCCCAGGGCCAGCACTGGCATCCCCACCGTGAATCCTCAGCAGCCTCTGCCCTGCTTGTCCTGGCCCCGATCCCAACAGACCAGCTCTATTCAACATTCAGGGGAACAGAGAGATGGGGGGAAATCAGGAAAGAGTGAGAGGTTACAGTAACTTTTTTAAAAACTTTTTTGTAGACAGGACTGGTCAATGATCTCCAACATTTTCCATAATTGTCTAGCATCACTTTCATAAAGAACAAAGCAAGGTAAAATCTTTGTTACACCATTATGACTTTGCTGGCTTTACAAAATTCTTGCCAGCTTTTTTTTTTTGTTTTTAGATTTTTTAAAAAGATTTTATTTATTAGTTTTTAGACAGAGGGAAAGGGAGGGAGAGAAACTTCGATGGGTGGTTGCCTCTCGTGCACCCCCTGCTGGGGACCTGGCCTGCAGTCCAGGCCTGTGCCCTGACTGGGAATCGAACTGGCGACCCTTTGGTTCAAAGGCCGGCATTCAGTCCCCTGAGCCACACCAGCCAGGGCACAAAATTCTTGCCAGCTTTTAAAAAAACCTTTTGGCGTCTGTGGGGAAAGCTGTGTCAAGTTCTAGTTCCTTTCATCATGTTCCTTCTCATCCACACCCCAGGCCCTGGGCAAGTGACTGAGACTGGAGGGTGTGCATCCCCTTTGTCCTGGATAGTTTCTACCTTTGGTTTCTATATTTGCTTATTTGTTCCTTTCTGCTTGGTGACTCATCCTTCTTGGAAGGACCTTTGGACTGGAGCTCCCAGCCTGATCTGTTTTCTGGCTGATGTTGTCACATGATAAACATGGGAGCCTCTATGTTTCTTTCTCTCCCCGGAAACTTTCCAGGCCACTTCTTTGCATGCACTGTGAACTTGGGTTGTTTTGGTAAGTTTTCAGAATTTGGCCCTGTGAGCATCACACCTTTCCTAATAAGCTCTGGATTTGCCTCTATGTATGTGTTTATCCCTGGGATGTATATGCTTATCTTCTCTCTTTTATCAGACGTGCAGGTAGATCCCCAGTGTTTTAAGTGGCAGTAGAAGAAAGGTAGCAAAGGTAGGGCAGGAAGGAAGGAGAATTGAAATTTGTTCTTGAGACAAATTTCATGTATCCATTTATCCCATGTATATCCATTTGGTTCTAATGAGGCAGAGGCCAGCAAGTGTAACGTAAAGGACTGGTATGTGATTTAGGTGACGTGGGTCCCTTTTTTCCTGTCCTCTGGGACTTTCTGGAGGCCTGGTGAAAATATCCCACAGTGGTTGCAAGAAGTTTTGGAAACAGACAGTTTTGGGGCTGAAGGGCTGGCCCTGCACTCACCGCCTGTGGGATCTGCAACTCGTGGGGAAAGCTTGTCAAGTTCTAGTTTCATGCCCTTAGCCACGGGTGTGCCCACGTTTGTACAGCCCGTGGGCTCAGAATTGCTTCCACATCCTAACATGGTTGGGGGAGAAATGAAAAGAAGAATAGCATTGCATGGTGCATGTGAATTATGTGAAGCTCAGCTTCCAGCCTCCACCGTGTTTAGCGGACACACCACTTTACAGCAGAAGTTTGCCGACTGTGTCCTGAGCCTCACTTTCCTTGTCTCTAAGGAGGGACGAAGCCATGGGTGGTTGTGAGAATTAAATGAGGTCGGCTGTGGTTTAGGAAGATTGGCTGTTATTGATCACGATGACACCTTGTGTGTCATTTCTGAACAGATCCTGCCTGTGACAGTCCCACCCAGGCTGGACACTCCTGAATGTATGAAGCCCAGCCCCCCCCACCCCCCCACTCCTCCCCTCTGTCTTCCAGGAGCTGCACCTCTGCGTCTCCCGCAGGCATTTTGCTCTGGAGCGGGGCTGCCGGCTGCGTGGGCTGCTGCCCGGGAACTACAGCGTGCGAGTACGGGCCACCTCCCTGGCGGGCAATGGCTCCTGGACGGAAACCACCTACTTCTACGTGACAGACTATTGTGAGTCTGCATGGCAGCTTGGACGAGTTGGGTCTGTGCTTGCTGCTGGGGACAGCAGGACATTTCAGAGAACAACGGGGGGAGGTTGGAGGCTAGGGCCTGCTGGCCTTGGACTTGACCTCTGGCTACACCGTGGCCGCTGTTGTGACAGGGGTGAAGTGCTTGCCCTCTCTGAGCTTGCACTTCCTCATCTGTCCATGCGGATAATAATAGGACTACCTCTGGAGGTGAAGGGAGGTGTCAGTGACGACATGAAGGTCATGTGACCTGGAACAGGACAAGTCTGATAAGCACATCAGCTCCTTTGAACCAGTGTTTCAGTCTTTGTTATTAGATGGGCCATGTCCTCCAGCGGAGGAGGTGGGAGCTCCCTCCTCAGCCTTTGCTATGTTCTCAGTGTTCGTGCCTTAAGCGCCGCCTCTGGGCGAGCTGGACGCACTGGACAGCAGGGTGGGGAGAAGTGGGGAAGGCCGAGCTGAGCAGGGGGTGCTTCCTGGATCTGGTGCCCTGTTGGTTGAGACCTGGAAGAATGTGCAAGTCAGGGCCAAAGAGCACGTTCGGTCTGGCACGTGGCAGGAGCCTAGACTCTGGAATGAGTGAAGAGACACACAGCTTGGATGGAGAGGAGGCTGTGGACCAGGGGCTTGGTGGGGAAGGGCGAAGTGTGGCTTCTGCTTGGCTGGCTGGATGCTCACGCCGTGGCACAGAGGGAGTGTGCAGAGTGGGGGTGATTCTTGCTGGGGCGGCTCTGGTCAGGGTCAGGACTAGGATGGGTGTTCTTGACACCAGCGGGGTGTCCTGTGCCGTGATTTTGACGCCGCCCACTGGAGTTGCCATAGAACCCACAAGGCTGAGAGCGCAGCTTCCAACAAGATGGCTGTCACTGAGATGCCAGATGCAAGTTTGGGCGTTTTCCAGGCCACCTGCACTTTTGGGGATTCCCATGACCCCTTCTTGTTAGATCATTTGTTAGAATGGCTCACAGAACATAGGAAAATGCTATTATAAGGCAGGACCACTCCAAGGCAGAGACACATAGGACAAGGGCCGCTGCTCCTCCTGCTGTTGGTCCAGACACGTCGTGTCACCCTCCTGACAGGCAGGTGTGTCCATCACCTGAGCTCTGCCGTCGGAGTGCTCATTGGGGTTTTACTCCCTAGGTGTGATTGCTTGAATCATTGGCCACGCGACTGAACCGAATCTTGAGCCCTGCGCCCCGCTCTGGAGGCCAGGCTGGCTGCAAGCCCTGCCCCTCTGGTCACAGGCTTGCTCCTCTGGGGACCAGCCCCCATCCTGGGTCATCTCCCATCCTGGCAGGAACTCACTGGCCTTCCGAGAGGTCCATCAATAACACAGGCGCTCCTCCTGCTCAGGATGTCCAAGATCCGGAGTCTTTCCCTAAGAAGCGGGGGCACCATGAGTGAAATTCAAAGCAAAATACTCTCAGAGTGGGAAAGATGTTTATAACACATTGACAAAAAGTTAATGTCCTGAATACAAAATGAACTGCAGTTGACTCCTGAACTGCATGGGTCTGTGTATATGCAGATTTTTATAAAATAGAGTAATGTATTTTCTCTTCCTTATGATTTTCTTAATAACATTTTCTTTTCTCTAGCTCACTTTGTTGTAAGAATATATGATACATAGAACATACAGAATATGTGTTACCTGACTATTGATGTTATCAGTAAGGCTTCCTTCCCATCAACAGTAGGCTATTAGTAGTTGGGTTTTGGGGCATCCAAAGTTAAATGCAGATTTTCAACTGTGCAGGGGGTCAGAGCCCCTAACTCCTATGTTGTTCAAGGATCACTTATGTATATTATATGAGTAAAAGATAAATGCCCTAACATTAAAAATAAGCAAAGAATGTAGAAAGCCCATATAAAAAGAAATAGAAAACATAAGAAAAAAAATGTCTAACCTCACTTGAAACCACACTAAAAAAGAAAAAATTAAAACGAGTTGTAATTTTCAACTTATCAAACTGGCAAGGTTTTTGTTGGTTTCTTTTTTATAACTACAGTACTTAGTGTTGTCCAAGAGTTTAGACATGTGGAATTTTTTTTAATGGTTGTTCAGTGCTAAAATGTAGTAGTTTAATAATGTGCGTTAGGAATCTTATCAGGGATCTTACTATTTGAGCCAACAGTTCTCTTTCTAGAAATGTAGCCTAAGGAAGAAATCAGACATGTTTTAAAAAAGATACACGTTCAAGGAAATCCAGCACAGCATTACCCCCAGTAGCCATAAACCTGGAGAGTTCAGTGTCACACTTCAGATTACAGGTGACACTTAAACACCACCAGGCGAGGGCACAGACCCTCCTGCGCTGTCAAAAACCCTTGTGTAACTTTCAGCTCCTCAAAAACCCAACTGACAGCCCACCATTGACAGGAGGCCGTACCGACAACACCGGCAGTCGGTAAACGTGTGCTTCATGTGTTCTGTGTATCACGTGCTGTATTCTTACAATGAAGTGAGCGAGAGGAAAGTGTTGAGAAGATACATTTACAGTTCTGTGTATTTATTGAAAAAAAATCTGTGTGTAAGAGTTCAAACCTGTGTTTGTTCAAAGGTCAGCTATACTTTTTAAAGGAATTCGTTATCATATAACAGTTACCAAGGTGCAGAATTGAGGGAGGTGCTCACCCTCAGGAACTGTCCCTGTCCTTTCATGACCCAGAATAAGAGCCTCTTTCCGATTCTGCACCCAGGGGACCTCCCTTCCATCACTCTAGTTTTGGCTGCCTCTGGAAGCGGAGGAGCAAGCAGGACTGTAGGGTGTGTGGAAAGCAGAGGTGGGGGTGCATCTTGCCCAGTCCTGACCGTGCGGTAGCCTCCAGGCAGCCTGTGGCTTAGGAGAAAGAGAAGGGAAGAGGGACGTTTAAACAACTGTGCACACAGCTGCACACAACCAGACCATTTCCATTTCCCACGTCACATTCAATCACTAAACGTTTTTGGAGACCTTCAGCCTGCCAGGAGCCACCAGAGAGGGTTCTGACAGTTTGCTCTCAGCTGGGTAGGTCCAGGAGGACGAGACATCTCAGGCTAGAGCTGGCCCCCAGAGGCAGCATGGATGGGGCTTCGGTCAGCGCTCACGCAGATGGCTTGGGTCGGATGCGTGCTCCTCTGGCGTCAGTTCTGGGCCTGGGGGCAAGGCCCCTCCCCACCCTGAGCCTCCCGTTTCCCAGCCTGTTGACTGGTGTTAGACAGGGTTCCTTCTGCCTTGGCTTATGGGACGATTAAATAAGATCACCACACAAAGCACTTAAAACAATGCCTGGCTTTTAGTAAGTGTTCAGTAAACTGCTATTATTAAAAGACGCAAATGACCAGATTCCTCCTCTGATTTTGCCAAACCCATTTTTTTTTGGGGTGGGCTTGGAAATGTCTAAAGACATGGGCATGTTAACAGTTTCAGACAACTTGGCCTTGTATGTGAATTTAAAAAATAAAGGCCGCATAACATTTCTTCAGCTAGTTAAAAAGTCATTCTTTGGGGGAAGTGCACTTTTTTTGCCTGGTATTCTTCCAAGGTTCACGGGCCAGCTGTCGAGTGAGGAGGGGCAGGACTGTCTAGCACACACAGGGCACTTCCTGGTGGAGTTTTCACTTGTCAGAGCTGCTGTTCAGAATTTGCAGGGCTCAGTACAAAATGAAAATGCAGGGCCCTTGTTTTAAAATTAAGACTTTCAAGATGGTGGCTGTGGAATACTAAACCCAGAGCACAGCCCTTCTGAGTGCGGGGTCCTGGGTGGTGGCCTGGGTGGCGGCCTGGGTGGCGGCCTGGGTGGCGGCCTGGGTGGCATGGCTGCGAAGCTGGCCCTGGGTGGGAGGGGCGAGGGCCGGCAGCAGGGTCGGGGGGTGCTTCCAGAATACTGACCTCTGAGCCCACTGCCCAGCCCCACGGAGCCAAATGGTGTTTCAGGATTGCTGGGAAATACGGTCTAGGAGACAAAAGATGGGGGAAAAGTGTGTATTGCCCACCATTATATTTGTAGATGTGACTTGTGATATGAACACATTTTGATGCAAAACATGTATTTTCTTATTGTATTTCAGTAGACGTCCCATCAAATATTGCAAAAATTATCATCGGCCCCCTCATCTTTGTCTTCCTCTTCAGCGTTGTGATTGGAAGTATTTATCTATTCCTGAGGAAGAGGTTAGTGCGGTGATGGTTGGTTAATAACTGGCTCTGCAGAAAAATTAAGCCTAATAAGTACATAGATACAGATACAGCTGTATCTAGGTTTGTTAGAAGTTTTACTGATCTAAATGATACGTAGCATACAATTTACAGGTAATGATTGTAAGGCAATATGCAGTCCAGTTTATTGTAATTTCCCTTACCAAATGCTTTCGTCGAGTTTTTCCCCCTCAACCTTTGTATCTATAGCCAACCTATAGTTGCAATTGATAAATAAGTGTTTATGAGTGTTGACTGATATTTTGTTTACGTTAAAGAGTAAGCCAGAAGTGAAATAAGACACATATGTTCATCAATCATAGGAGTGGCTTTGCTGAATCAGATAGTAATTCTTTTTCTTTTTCTTTTAAATTTTATTTATTTATTTTTAGACAAAGGAGAAGGGAGGGCGAGAAAGAAACATCAATGTGTGGTTGCCTCTCAAGCGCCCTCTACTGGGGACTTGGCCTGCAACCCAGGCATTTGTCCTCTCTGGGAATCGAACCAGCAACCCTTTGCTTCGCAGGCCAGTGCTCAACCCACTGAGCAACACCAGCCAGGGCCAGACACTAATTCTTAAATACTTTTAATATTTTCCGGATATTTTGTGCCATTTGCAACATCATGGTTACAGATGACAATTTTAAGTTTCATCTGCATTATTAATATTTTTTCTGTCATTTTCTCAAGCCTAGACAAACAACAGAACAAGAAATCCAGTCTTGGTTTGTAGTGTTTGCCTATTTCCCTGGTGTAAATACTCCCACCGTGATCAATTTCAAGCTACAGACATGACGCCCCTGAGTGCAGAGCTGGGAGGGGATATGCAGTGGCTCCCTGTCATGGGGTGTCTCTGCCATATGTGTGCAGTAACGTGAGAAATGAGGTGATGCAGGTAGCCTTCAGAGCGTTGATCATAGCAAGATGTAGTATGATAATGAGGAAGTGGTGAGTTTTGAATGTTGTTATTTTTGTTTTTAATATAATTTATTTAATTGTAAGCCTATTGAATTTATTTTTGAATGATGGTTATACTTAAAAACTGGCTCGCAAGTTTCCCCAGAATTTAAGAGTTGTTTCTCATGAGCTGGGGTGGGATGGCCCCAGAACAGAATTGGTACGTGGGTGCTGCTGCAAGGTGCTGTTTACATGTGGGGGCCTGCAGGGACCCATGAAGGCCTGTGGGAGCCTTGGCTGGAATGCTTCCCATTTTCTCTTCCAGGCAGCCAGATGGGCCCCTGGGACCGCTGTATGCTTCTTCAAACCCTGAGTACCTCAGTGCCAGTGATGGTGAGTGCCATCCTCTTCCCTGGGGGTGGCAGAATCCTACTGTCTGGTTTCCTTTTCTACCCCTGTCAAGTGAAAGTCAAGAGCTCACCCCCCAGTAGGCTGAGACGAGCCCTTGTGTGGAGCTGAAGGCCTGCCCTGTGCTGCAGAGCCCTCCTGGGGAGCGGCGCCCGTGTGGGCGGGCTGGTCCGGCTGGGCTGGGGCCCATGGGCTGGGCTGGGCTGGGCTGGGCTGGGAGGCCGAGACCCCGGCGCCCGGCTGTGGGAGTGGGGAGCAGGAGGCCCGTGCCAGAGGGAGAGCTGAGGGTCAGAGCTAGGGAGCCGCGTCTGCACTTGGTGCCCATCTGGGAGGTGGGAATTGGAAGCCAGAATGGGAGACTGTGGATGGGAAGATAAGAAGCAGGAAGAAGACGGGTGGGTGGGGGCCAGTGTGGGTGCTAAGGGCACATCTGCTGTTGGCGGCTGGTGAGAATGAGTGCGATGCCAGTGGAAGGAGCATGGGTCTGACACCCGTATTGCCCTTGATGGTACCAAAGGACTGGCTGTGCCCTCCCAGGGGAAGGCATCTGTTGCATTACAAGTTCCTAAGCTGCTTCATGCAGCAAAAAAATCAAGAAACGACTTTCAAGGCATGAGCACCGTTGCCCAGCAGGGTGCTGGCTTGGGAAACAGGGGTGGGTGGTATTTTTAAGGGTACCCCTGATTTGTTTTAATCAGGTTCGATAAGATATGCAGGCATGGAAGTGACTGTCATGAAGGAAAATGTTTTTGCTCATAGTCCCCTAGAAATATGAGGCATGTACCATGCCAGGCCGCACAGGGAAGCACCAGGATCCCTCAGGAGGCAGAGGGAGGGGAAAACCTGGGCTTCCGTGGGGAGGAAGGGGTGAGGCAGGGTGGATGGGATCAGGGGCGGCCTGTGTGAATAACCTCCGTCCTGTTGTCTGTTGTCTGGCGCCTGGCCCTGGGCCGATTAACGATTAGGGCAGGCGGACAGTGGCCCTGAGTGTGGGAGCTCCATGCAGGAGGGGGCGGGCGGTGGGCTCTGGATTGGCTGGTTTGCACGGAGCTCTTGTGAGGCCTCACCATCTCTAGGAACTGGCCGCCCCGCAGCTGGAGGTGGGGGGCGAGGCCAGCCCTTCCCCTGGCACAGCCCCAGGTGTCAGGGCATCAGACCAGAGAAACTAGAAAAGGTGGTCATTGCAGGTGGGACTGTGCAGAGGGAACAGGGGTGGGAAGAAGTAAACGCAGATCTGGGAGCCTCCTCTCCCTCTTTGGGAACGGCATTGAAGTTGCACATCCGAGAGGGGGAAGCAGATCCTCAGTGCTGCTCGTGGGTCCCATTGTTGGGGGCGAGGCCAAGGTGCTGCTCAGCGCTGCTTCTGCACCCTGCCATTCTGCTTCCTTCTAGAAATGTAGCAAAGGCTCAGGGCACAAGAGTTCCCAGACTGGGCTGGAAATTCTATCTCGAGGGTCTTGAAGGTCAGGAAGGCCTGAGCCAAGGGATACATGCAGGGAAAGACCCAGTCTCGGGGCCCTGGCGGGGGGACAGGGTGCCTCTCTACTGGGCCTCTGTGAGTTCATTTACGTGCAGAGGTTTTGTGGATTCAGTGTCCTTGCCTGAGCTTTTGGCAACTGTATGGCTAGGACTGCTGCCACTACGTAGCACACACTGGATGGCTTAGAAAACAGTTTTACTATCTCACAGTTCTAGACAGTGAAATTTTGAGGCCAGAGTGATAGCAAGGTCAGTGGCTCCTGAGGCCTCTGTCCTCGGTGTGGAGATGGCCGTCTTCTCCCTGTGTCCGCACATGGTTGTCCCTGTGTCTCTTTGTCCTGATTTTCTCTTATAAGGACACTGATTGTGTTGGATTAAGGCCCACCCTAATGACCTCATTCTACCTTGATTATCTCTTTAAAAACGTTTTTCCCAATACAGTCACATTCTGAGGTCCCAGGGTTGGGGCTTCCACATGGGACTTTGGGGAGGGACACAACTTAGCTCATTACAGTGACGTGACGGCACAGAGGAGGGCAGGAACCAATTGGGCTTTTCTTATGAGGTCAGTGTTTATTTGCTGTGTAACAAACTACCCCAAACAGTGGCTTAAAACTGCCATTCATTAGTTCCCAGTTGGGTGGGTCTGCCCCCATGGCTGTGCTTGGCTGGGCAGTTCTTCTGGTCTCACTGACGTGGCTGGCCCTGCCTGTGGGTCAGAGGATGTGAGGTGGCCCGGGATGGTGTTTTCCCGGCCCGTTGGCACCCCACAGAAACACTAGCCTTAGGTGGGGATAGCACCCTGAGACTATGCGTCTCTGATTCAGACGGACAGGATGGGGATGCAGGCCCAGTGGGCACGTACTGGACAGGACCCTGGACTGGTGCGGTCCCTTACTGAGCCTTTGTCACCCCCTGCATGATGGCAGGAACCCCCGCTTGTCCTGTTCCTGGAGGTGTGCCTGGCACAGGTCCTGGATCACAGGAGTCACTTAGTGAACATTTGGGTGGGGCTTGGGTGGGAGGCGGCTGGCGGTCCCCTGAGGATGCAGTGTTAGATAAGTGAGGAGTAGTGTTCCCATGTTCTGTGTATGTGCCGGACGAGTGGGAGGTGCCTCGGGAGAAGATCACCCTCCTGCGGGAGCTGGGGCAGGGCTCCTTTGGCATGGTGTATGAGGGCAACGCCAGGGACATCGTCAAGGGCGAGGCAGAGACCCGAGTGGCGGTGAAGACGGTCAACGAGTCGGCCAGTCTGCGGGAGCGGATCGAGTTTCTCAACGAGGCCTCAGTCATGAAAGGCTTCACCTGCCATCACGTGGTGAGTCCCGCGGTTGCCCTGAGAGCCCACAGAGTCTACTTTTGTTAAGCAGAGCTGAGGTTCAGGCTGTAATAAAGAACCAGATGCATTTATTTGAGCAAAAAGGTGAAACCTGAGAGACCCAGATTCAGATAGCAACTACACTGCGCTCCAAAGAGAACAAAGAAAGGCAGGGTTTGCTGAGGCCGAAAGCCCGAAGCTTCATTTTTCCTGCAGAGGAGGGGTGCTGGCTGGGTTGCCTGGCCTCGGTTAGTTTCGAGAGGCAGAGGAGGCGGGGAAACTGCAAGCAGACATCAAGTCCCTGTGCTGTTCCAGGAGCCACCTAGGCTGGGGCTGAGTTTAGCAGCTGGTTAGCAACTTAACAGCAGCTCTGAGAACTGAGGCAAGTCTTGCAGAGGCCGAGTTTCTCTAAGAGCCTGCCATCTCTATTTTAAGTGACTTCTTTAGGAACCTTATTTGCTTTTACTTTTTTTTCTGTTGCTACTTTCATGTTGGTTTCCCTGGTCTTGCTCTGTTCCATGAGGAAGGTTGGTGTGGGCCCCAGCCCTGCTCAGCGCCCTAAAAGTGGGAGGAGGGCCTCCCTTCTCCAATCCTTCCTCACCTGGAGCCAAACTCTTTTTGTCTCAGTGCTTTCTGGAGTCTCCATCTCACCCTCCTCTCAGCTGCTTTTAAACCCTTAAACACACAGTGCTGCACCTCGCCTGCCCTCCCTTAAGTCAGCATGCTCTCCCCCTGGCCTCCTGCTCCCACCTTGCCTGGTTTCTCCTGGAGCCTTGTGTCCTTTCATCTTCACCCCATGCACTTGAACAGAGCGCTTGCCCCATGCTCATCCCTGTTTTCATCTCTGTGATGCAGTAGATTTCTGGAGCTTTCAACACGGTGGGTGTTGGCCAGTAAACAGCCTCTAAACCCAACGGGTTCATTATTAGGAGATGCTGCTCTGGCAAAATGAGAAAGGAGAGCAGGGTTGGGGGACTGGGAATTCAGGGGTGGGGAAGGCGTATTTGAGCAAAAGACTTAAAGGATGTAAGGACAGCCATGTGGACATGTGCAGGAACAGAGAGCCAGGCCGAGGGAACAGCTACTGGGCAGGCCCGAAGGTGGGAATGTGTGCTCAGAGATATCAAGGACTATCCAGTGATTTGCCTTAGAGCGTTTCTATGTGTGGGCTGGCCTGTGTGTGCCCCCACCCAACAGATTGAGTCCTGAATTCTCCCTCCTAGCTCTCCCTCCCCAGGGTGATGTCCCTGGCATTTGAGCTGGACAGACCAGGGTTTACCACACACCACCCAGGTGCAGGGCGCTGGGTGTGATCAGACAGGGAGACCTTGGTGAGTTGAAATGTTCTTACAGACCCTCATCTAAGACTCCCGCCCACCCCACATCCTTGTTTTACAGGTCCGCCTCTTGGGGGTGGTGTCCAAGGGCCAGCCGACGCTGGTGGTGATGGAGCTGATGGCTCATGGAGACCTGAAGAGCTACCTCCGTTCCCTGCGGCCTGAGGCTGAGGTGAGCTGCCCACAGCCACCCTGCAGGACACTCCGTCCTGGCCACGGGCCCAGTGTCACTGAACACGACCTCTTGTTTTGACTTCAGAATAACCCTGGCCGCCCTCCCCCCACCCTGCACGAGATGGTTCAGATGGCAGCTGAGATTGCGGATGGGATGGCCTACCTGAACGCTAAGAAGTTCGTGCACCGGGACCTTGCAGCTCGAAACTGCATGGTTGCCCATGATTTTACTGTCAAAATTGGAGGTTCGTCTGGCTTTTCTGCTTTGGAATGTATGGCTTGGGCCACGTTTAATTTGAGAAGGAATTGTCCATTGTGAGTTGGTAAAGCGTTTCAGTGGTGAAAAGGGGCAGGGTTTTGGATAGGGGCTTGATTCCCATGGTTTAATTTATTTTTTTTCAATTTTGAGAACCTCTTTTTTCTCCTTCCTTTGAATTTTAAAAAATTTTTTCAATTGCATTTTACATTCATTATTATTTTATATTAGTTGAGACAATCATATACTTTACAAATCCCCACACTGTAATTTAATTGCATTCATTCATTCATTAACTTACTCACTTCATTAAGTAGTACTTGTGTTCCCGTATATGTAAGCCACTGAGCAGGCGCCTGTGTATGATGATGAAATCACCCTGGTTTTGCTGCCCTCATGAGCTTGTAGTCTTTGTCTGTATCCTCCAGCACAGAAGCCACTGGCCATATGTGGTCATCTACATTAAAATTAACTTACATTAAGTAAAATTAAAAATTTAGTTGGTGGGCCCCATGGGCCCCATTTCAGGGGTCCAGTGTGGCTGCCATACTGGACAGTGTGGTGTAGACCATGATCATCACCACAGAAAGCTCTGCACAGAGGTGTTCTAGATGAACAGTGAAATGGTTCGCAAGATAAAGAGGACAGGAAAGGAGCCCTGAAGGAAATGGACTTCTGTGGCGGAGAAGAAAGGGCCCAGGCTCAGAGGAAGCACCATCCCACCTGAGACTCAGAGGCTCAGAAGCTGACCTGAGTGACAGCGTCCCGGGGGCAGTGTGAGCACAGGCAGAGGCCATGTGGCTGGAGGGGTGACGGATGTGTGAACAAGACGAATGTAGAGGAGACAGAGCAGCATGAGATGTGAGGTTAGGGGGAGAGGCAGGAGCCAGAACCAGAAGGGGCTCACAAGTCATGGTGAGGCGTCTAGGCGTCCCCCTGCACAGCCAGGGTAGAGCAGGAAGTGAGGTGGTTCTGTGTGTGATCCACAAGGACATTTCCCTACTTAGCAGTCAGTGGGAAGCAGGAAGTGCTGTTATTCTGTTCATAATCCCCAAAGATCTTACCCTTCATCAGCAAGGGAAGCAGGAAGCAGCAAAGCGATGCCGTCCTGTTTATGTAGCTTCTCTCAGGGAGTGTGCTGTCAGGGTCAGCATGGAGGGAGGGTCCGGACCGTAGGTGAGAGAGGGTGGTGGGCCTGGTTGGTTCCAGGGCAAAGGAGAGAAATAGATAGTTAGAGGGGTACGTAGATGGAGAGTGGGTAGGACTCACCACTGTTTCGCATGTGAGGAAAGAGAGTGGTCAAAGGAGGACACAACTCTGGGTTTTTGGTGAGCAGCTGGCTCTTAGGTGGGGCTGTATCCAATGCAGAGCCGGAGGTTGGCTACAGAGAGTTAATACTTTGGTTTGGGATGCTTGTGAGTCATGGGTGGGCAGGAAGCCTTTCTGAGACTGGGATTCCCAAGCTCTGGCCGGAACGTTGCTTCCTTGCCACTCGGTGGTTTCTTTTCCTTCCCTTTAAACGGTGGTCCATCCTCTCCCTCCATATTCCACGAGCACTCTCAGAATCCATTTTCCTGGATTTGACAGCCACCCAGGTGAGCATATACCTGGACCAGGTGAGCCCACCTGAGGGCTCTGCCTGCGGTGGGCCAGTGAAGATGGCAGGCATCTGAGCCGCAAGCTGACGGGTAAGAGCTTGTGAACTGTTTGTTGTCAGACTTTGGAATGACCAGAGACATCTATGAAACGGATTATTACCGGAAAGGCGGCAAAGGTCTGCTCCCTGTGCGGTGGATGGCACCGGAATCCCTGAAGGACGGGGTCTTTACCACTTCCTCTGACATGTGGTGAGTTGTGCATGGGTTGGGGTACAGAATATGGGGCTTGAATCCTGGGTTGCTCCACTAGTCTGAGTAAGAGGGGCAGTTAAAACCTGCCTTCCTCACGGCCACCAAGAAAATGAAGGGAGTGTTATGTCTGAGGACTTTTGAGCAGCTTGTACTATTACATTCCATTTGAGACTAATCTTATAAGCATTTCTGAATGCAGCATAAAAATACTTTTCTTTCATTTTTACTTGTTTTACAATTATAGTTGACATTTAATATTGTCTTAGTTTCAGGTGTACCACATAGTGGTTAGACATTTGTAATTATTTATGAAGTGGTCCCCCCGGATGAGTCTAGTGCCCACCTGGCACCGCACCTGGTCATCACGATATTACTGACTGTGCTTCCTGTGCTGTGCTTTACATCCCTCTGACTTATTCTGCAACTACCAATTTGTACCTCTTAATCCCTTCACTGTTTCCACCCAGCTCCCCAAACCCCTTCCCATCTGGCAACTCTTAGTTTGTTCTCTGTCTCTATGTGTCTGTTTCTGTTTCGATTGTTAGCTTATTTTGGTTTTTAGATTCCACATGTAAGTGAGATCACAATGTATCTGTCTTTCTCTGTCTGACCCATTTCACTTAGTATAATACCTGCTATGTCCATCTATGTTGTAAATGGTAAGATTTCATTCTATTTTGATGAATGAGTAATATTCCATTTATATATACGTGTGAGTGTGTGTATTGTAACACATCTTTATCAATTTTCTATTAATGGGCATTTAGGTTGTTTTCCATATCTTGGCTGTTGTAAATATAATGGATCAGTGAACATAGGGGTGCATACATCTTTCCAAATTACTGTTTTGGATTTCTTCAGATAAATGTTCAGAGGTGAAATTGCTGGGTCATAAGGTAGTTCTATTTCTGATTTTTGAGAAACCTCCGTACTGTTTTCCACAGTGGCTGCACCAATTTGCAATCCCACCAACAGCGCATGAGGGTTGCCTTTGTCCACATCCTCAGCAACAATTTTTGTTTGTTGATTTACTGATGACAGCTATTCTGACAGGTGTGAGATGACCTTAATTTGCATTTCTCTGATGATTAGTGATATTGAACAACTTTTCATATGTCTGTTGGCCATTGGTATGTCCTTTTTGGAGAAATTCCTATTCAGATCCTATGCCCATTTTACAATTGGATTGCTTGTGTTTTTTTGTGGGTTTTTTTTTTGTTTTGGGTGTTGAGTTGTATGATTTCTTTATACATTTCGGATATTAACCCCTGTCAGATGTATCATTGACAAATGTCTTCTCCCATTTGGCAGGTTGTCTTTTTTTGCTTTATTGATGTGCAAAACCTTCTAGTTTGATGTAGTTCTATTTGTTTATTTTTTCTTTTGTTTTCCTTGCCTTAGAACTTATGTCAGAAAAAATATTGCTAAGAAAAATGTCATACATTTTTACTGCCTAAGTTTTCATTTAGGAGTTTTATGTTTTCACTTCTTGCATATAAGCCTTTAATCCATTTTGTGTTTATTTCTTGTGTATAGTTAAGAAGGTGGTCTAGTTTCACTTTTTACATGTATATGTCCAATTTTTCCAACACCATTTATTGAATAGACTGTTTCTTGCCTCCTTTCTCAAGTATTAATAAACCATATTGGTATGGGTTTATTTCTGTGTTCTGTTCCATTGAGCTATGTGTCTGTTTTTATGCCAGTGCTATGCTGTTTTGATTATTATAGCCTTGTAGTATAGTTTGAGATCAGGTAGCATGTTCTCTCTGACTTGACTTTTCTTTTCAAAACTGCTGTGAGTATTTGGGGGTCTTTTGTGATTCCATATAAATTTTAAAATTATTTGTTCTAGTTTTGTGAAAAATGCCATTGGTATTTTGATAGGCATTGCGTTAAATATATAGATTGCTTTGGGTAGTATGGACATTTTAATGAGTTAACTCTTCCAATCCGCAAGCACGGTATATGCTTCCAATTATTTATATATTTTTCAGTTTCTTTCTTCAACATCTTGTAATTTCCAAGTATTGTACAAGTCTTTTACCTCCTTGGTTAAATTTATTCCTAGATATATTTTTGATGCAATTGTAAATAGGATTGTTATCTTAATTTCTCTTTCTAATAGTTCATTATTGGTGTATAAAAATGCAACTGATTTCTAAATATTAATTTTGTATCCTGCTTCTTTACTGAGTTCATTTATCAGTTTTAAATTTTTTTTTTTTTTTGGTGGAATCTTTAGGGTTCTCTATAGGTAGTAGCATGTCATCTGCAAATAATGACAGTTTTACTCCCTCCTTCACAATTTGGATGCCTTTTATTTCTTCTTCTTGTCTAATTGCTGTGGCTTGTTCTTCTAGTACTATGTTGAACCCAAGGGAAATGCTTTTAGCTTTTCCCTTTTGAGTAAGATACTAGCCTCTATTATGTTGTAGTGTTTTCTCTATTCTCACCTTGCTGAGAATTTTTTTATCATAAATGGGTGCTGGATTTTGTCACATTGTTTTTTCTTCACCTACAGACATGATCATATAATTTTTATCCTTTTTATTTATGTGATGTATTGTGTTAATTGATTTGCAGATACTGAACCAAACTTGATCTCAGGAATAAATCCCACTTGATCATGGTGTATGATCCCTTTAAAGTATTACTAAATTTCATTAGCTAATATTTTGTTGAGGATTTTAGCGTCTATATTCACAGGGATATTGGCCTTTAATTCTTTTCTTTTGGAATCAGGGTAATCTTGGCCTCACAAAATGAGCTTGAGAGCCTTCTTCCCTCTTGAATTTTTTTGGAATGTTTTGAGTAAACTAGGTGTTAATTCTTCTTTGAATGTTTGATAAAATTCACCTGTGTAGTCATCTAGTCTAGGATTTTTGTTTTTTGGGAATTTTTTGATTACTAATTCAATTTTGTTAGTAGTAATTGTTCTGTTCAGATTTTGTTTTCTCTTGATTCATTCTTGGAAGATTGATGTTTCGAGGAGTTTATCCATTTCTTCCAGAATGTCCACTTTGTAGATATATAATTGTTGGTAGTATTTTCTTATTATTCTTTGTATTTCTGTGGTGTCAGTTTTCTCTTTTTTTTCTTATTTTATGTATTTTAGTCCTCCCTCTTTTTTGTTTATGAGTCTGGTTAAAGGTGTATCAATCCTGTTCATATAGCCTTAGCAAAGAACCAGCTCTTGGTTTCATTGATCTTTTGTAGTGTTTCTTTAGACTCCAGCTCACTGATTTCTGCTTGGATCTTTTTTTTTCCTTTATTCTACTCACTTTGGGCTTTTTTTTTTTTTTTTTTTTTTGGTTATGTTTCTGGTTTCTTTAGGTGTAAGATTAGATTGTTTCTTTGAGATTCTTCTTGTTTCTTGAGGTAGGCCTGTGTTACTATGAATTTCTCTTTTAGAACTGTGTTTACTGTGTCCCATAGATTTTGGGTTGTAGCATTTTCATTTTTATTTTTCTCGAGGTATCTTGATTTCTCCTGTAATCTCATTGTCAACCCATTCATTGTTTAGTAGCATGTTATTTTTGTCTCCATGGGTTTGTGTGTTTTTCAATTTTTTTTGTTTGTAATTGATTTTCTAGTTTCATATCATGGTGGTTGATGAAGGTGGTTGATATGATTTCAGTCTTTTTAAATTTATTGAGACTCTTTGTAGCCAATCACTTAGTCTGCCCTGGAAAATGTTTCATGCACAGTTGAAAAGAATGTATATTCCGCTGCTTTGGGGTGAAATGCTCTAGAAATACCAATTAAATCCATCTGATCTAATGTGTCATTTAAGGCTGCTGTTTCCTTGCTGATTTTCTGTCTAGAAGATCTGTCCATTTGTGTTAATTGTCTGTTAAAGCCCCTTACTGTGACTGTATTTCTATTGATCTGTCCCTTTATGTCTCAATATTTGCTTTATATATTTAGTTGCTCCAATGTTGGGTGCATAAATGTTTACACAGGTTATGTCCTCTTGTTGTATTGATCCCTTTATCATTATGAAATGTCTTTTTTTTGTCACTTATTTTGCCTTTGTTTTAAAGTCTGTTTTGTCTGATATAAGTATTGCTACCCCAGTTTTTTCTTTATTTTCATTTGCATGAAATAACAGTTTCCATCTTGTTACTTTCAGTCTGTGTGTATCTTTCAATCTGAAGTGAGTCTCTTGGAGGCAGCATATGTATGGGTCTTGTTTTCTTACCCATTTAGCTACCCTATGTCTTTTGAATGCAGCATTTAGTCTGTTTGCATTTAAAGTGATTATTGTTAGGTATGTAGTCATTTCCACTTTATTATTTATATTTATGATAGTTTTATAATAATCTTGAAAAGTTTCCTTTAATTCCTTGTTTCACTGGTTTAGTGGTAATGAACTACTTTGGCTTTTTCTTGTCTGGAAAGCTCTTTATCTCTACTTCAGTTTTAAATGATCGCCTTGCTGCGTAAAGGAGTCTTGGTTGCAGTTCCCTGCTTTTCATCACTTTGACTATTTGGTCTCAGTCCTTTCTGGCCTGCAGAGTTCGTTTCTGCTTAGAGATCAGCTGACAGTCTTATGGGAACTCCCTTGTAGGTAACTAACTTCCTTTTTTTCCCCTCTACTTTTAAGATTTTCTTTTTGTTTTTAACCTTTGCCATTTTGCTTATGTTGTGTCTTGGTGTGGGCCTCTTTGGCTTCATTTTGTTTGAGACTTTCTGTGCTTCCTGGACTTTTTGTTATCTCCTTCACCAGGTTAGGGATGTTTTCCATTATTTTTTCAAATAGGTTGTTAATCCCTTGGTCTGTCTTTTCTTCTTCTGGTCCCTTTTTCTGAATGTTGTTACACCCGATGTTGTCCCAGAGGTCCCTTAAACTATCCTTATTTTTAAAAATTCTTTTTGTCTTTTTGCTGTTTGGGTGTTTTGTGCTACTTTGTCTTCCAAATTGCTGATTCAGTTCTGTGCATTTTCCAGTATTCTGTTCATTCCTTCTAGTGTATTTCAGTTACTGTATTCTTCATTTCTGACTGGTTCTTTTTTAAGGTTTCCATGTTGTTTTTTTGTGCTTCCTATCTTTTTGTTGCAGTTTTCAGTGAGCTTATCTATCCTTCCCCTAAGTTCCTTGAGCATTCTTTTAACCTATGTTTTGAACTCTCTATCTAGCACATTGCTTGACTCCATTCTATTTAGTTCTTTTTCTGGAGTTTTCTCGTGTTTTTGTCATTTGGGGTATGTTTCTTGGTCCCCTCATTTTGGCTGCCTCTCTGTGTTTGCAATTATGTATTAGGTAGGTCTGCTATGTCTCCCAGTATTGGCAGGGTGGCCTTATGTAGTATGTCACCTGTGGGGCCCAGTGGTTCAGTCTCATGGATCACCTGAGCCTCATGCTCCAGGAGTGTCCCTTGTGTGGATCGTGTGTGCCTTTCTGTTTTGGTTGAGCCTTGATTGCTGCTGGCACCAAGTGGGAGGAGTTAACCCTCAGGCTGTCTGGCTCTAAGGATTGGCCACAACCACAGAGAATGAGGTTTTGCATGTGGACCGACCTCACAAGAGCCGAGCTTGCCTGAGTGGGCTCTGACACCAGCTGAGACCACCCTCTGGGCGTGGCCCTTGCTTTCCTAATCTGGTCGTTCTCTGTTACGGGGTGAAGCTGGCCATTGAATGTGCTGTTTCTGAGGCCTCTTGGGAGGGACTGTGGTACAGCTCTACATTAGCCACTGCCTGTGACTGGCCTGAGGCCACCTGGTAGGAGAAACAAAGTGTTCTGTGGTTGGGAGCTGCCTATTCTGGGTCTGGAGGTACATGGGAGAGGCCAGACTGTGAACCAAGTCCTCCTGCCACTAGTACCAGGCCTTAGGACACTTAGTGAAAGGCACAGGGTATCCCAAGGCCTGCTGAGCTGCTGAAAGACTCACAGGCAGCAGGTGAGTTGGATGAGCAGAGTCTCATAGTTGTCAGGGTGGGGTGAATGGAGTTCAGGAGGCTAATGCAGATTCAGATTTGGCTGTGTGGTAGGAGGGCTCAGCTTAGGGACAATGACAGCTGTTCCTCTAGCCCTTGCTCCGAAGCCACACAATTCGTTTCTCTCTGCATATCTCTGTCGACAACATCTCCCTCACCCCCACCGCCACCCCCAGCTGCCGTCTCTGCACTAGAGCCCATGGTAGGTGCCTGAGAACAGGCGAGTCTGTGCATGGGCCCTTTAAGAGGATGCCTGAGTTTCCAGCAGCCTTTCATCTCACCCAGACGGGCAGACTCCCTACTGATTTTACAGTGGACATGTGGGCTCTTCCCAGCACTGGCGCCCTGGGCCAGAGAGTCCAGTGTGGGCCTAGGCCCCCTTGCTCCTCAGCGGAATTTCAGCAGCTCAGACATCCCTCCTGGTTTTCAGCCTTCACACAGGGGTGTGGGGTCGCCATGTTTTGTGTCTCTGCCCCTCCTACTGGTCTCAACATGGCTGCTTCTGTGTATCCTTCATTGTAAGAATTCTCTTCAGTTATTTTTCAGATGCTTCTTCAGGTTGATTGTTCTATAACTTAGTTGTAATTTTCATTTGGCCATAGCAGGATGCAAGCAGAGTGTTTACCTACTTTGCCATCTTGAGAGGAAGTGAATCTGAATTATTTAATTAACTGGCCTGCCAGGTTCTAGTAAACCAAGAAAGTTGTGTGTGTGTGTGTGTGTGTGTGTGTGTGTGTGTGTGTGTGTGTTAATGGCTTCTATGTTTACTCTTCTCAACTGTTCTTGGCAGGTCCTTCGGCGTGGTCCTTTGGGAAATCACCAGCTTGGCAGAACAGCCATACCAAGGCCTCTCCAATGAGCAGGTGTTGAAATTTGTCATGGATGGAGGGCATCTGGATCAACCTGACAATTGTCCAGATAGACTGTAAGTGTAGAAAAGGGTGTTTCTTTATTTATTTAATAATTTTTTAAATTTATTTTTTTAATTGACTTTATTGGGGAGACATTGGTTAATAAAATTATATAGGTTTCAGGTGTACAGTTCTACAGTATACCATCTGTATATTTTGTTCCGTGTTCACCACCCCAAGTTAGGTCTCCTTCCCATCACTATTTATCCCCCATATGGGTGCTTATTTAAAAGGCATTGCATGTTGCGCGCATATTTGTGTTTGCATACTGTGTCTAATGCATGCTTATGTTTGTGTATCATGTCTACATGTGCTTGTGTTGCCACATAATATGTCTACGTGTGTGCTAGTGTTTGCTTATCTTATGTCTACAGGTGTGCTTGTTTGCATATCTTATGTCTACATGTGTGCTTATGTTTGCATATTTTATCTATGCATGGCCTTTGTGTTTGTATATCGTACTTTTGGAAGGGACCTGGGGAGCTAGGGTGGGAGACAGGTATAACTCTGTTCTTCATATTCTTTATACACTTAAAATTTTGATGTGAATATAATACAATGTTATATTCAATTATGTCTCAATAATACTGGAAAAATAAGTCAGTGAGCATAAACATAAAAAATTTTTTTGTTTTAAATATTTGTTATGAGACCAAATGAACAACACATAGTCATGCACACATACCATCAAACATTCGCAAAATCATTCAGCCCCACTAATAGTCCGATGAGTATAAACTAAAATAAAGGAGAGTGCTCTCCTCCTTAATTAACAAAGGAAGGAAGGGAAGGAGGGAGGGAGGGAGGGAGAGGAAGGAAAAGCAGGGTGAGCTTTAACACTCAGTGCTAGCAAAGGTAAGGACCCTTCTTATCTCCCTGTTGTAAAAACTACCCAGAGCAATGTTATTTTTAAAGTCTCAAAAAATTGAAATGATTTAAACATTGAACAAAATAAGAATTTCCAAGTAAATTCATACATTAATATGATGTAGCAATTGAAATTTCAAATGATGCTTAAAAATGTTTTATAACTCAGTGGATAAACCTGTTAAATAGTAAGTGAAAGAGAATGTACATTATTACATTTCCAAATATATCCAGATAAAAGACAAGATGTTGTATCTGAAGGAGAGTTGTGTGCGAGCTGCATTTTCCCTATATTTTGGGGTGTTTTTTAACTTTTTACAATGAGCATTTATTACATATGAAATCCTTTATCAGTGTTGCTTAAGGAAAAAGCTTGACCTGAAAATTTATGGGAAGAAGCCATTTTTATGCATCATCCCCCAAAGAAAAAGACATCAACTTTAAAAATACGGTTTGAAGAGACCTCATATCTAGAAAAGTATGATGCAGAGTCGTTTAGAGACTCTGAGGAAAGTGTTTTCAAAGCATTCCTCATGAAGGCCCTTTCCTAGCCAGCTAGCAGCCAGCTGTGGTTCCAGGACCAGGGAACTTCAGGAGGCACTGGCACTGGGCAAGGGTGTGAAAACTTTTTTGCAAAGGGCTATATGGTTAGTGTTTTCACTCTGTGAGCCTTGATGCTCTCGGCTGCCGCTCCTCAGTTCTCCTGCTGCAGTTGGAAGGCGGCCATAGGCATGGGACTGTGTACCAATAAATGTTCATTTACGGAAAAAAACCATTCGGGGGGTCAGGTTTTGTCCAGGGGCGGAAGTTTGCCAACCCTGCCCTACAAGAAGTTACAGCAGGGAAAGGAAGAGGTAAACATGGAAATCGTAAGCCCTCATCACCCGTCCTCTTTGCTATTGTCCAAGCAAGGTTGTAAGGCCCTCCTGCAGTCCTCTAAAGAGTGACAGCTGGACCTGCAGCAGGGCCTTGCAGAGCTGACCCTCCAGGTTCAAACCTCATGGCTGCGGCCATCAGTGGTGGGGATATATAAAGTGAGGGGTCGTGGTCTTCAACGTGTGACAATACTAAGAGAGGCCCTTCTTGATCTATCTCTGGGTTAAGTCAGTCCCTTCAGGTTCTCTTTTGAAAACCATCTTTCAGCCCCAGGAGAGTTGCTGCCTTTGCTTGACTGTTACCTGTACATACAGCCACTGCCTGAAACGAACACACCATCTGTGGTGTGGGCTGCCGGGGGGGCGGGGGGGCGTGGGGCTACTTGGCTGGACGCCCAGACTCATCCCTGACACGCTCTCTGCCCCACAGCACTGAATTGATGCGCATGTGCTGGCAGTTCAATCCCAAGATGAGGCCGACCTTCCTCGAGATCGTCGACCTGCTTAAGGACGACCTGCACCCCAGCTTTCCAGAAGTTTCCTTCTTTCACAGCGAGGAGAACAAGGCACCCGAGAATGAGGAGTTGGAGATGGAGTGTGAGGACATGGAGAGTGTGCCCCTGGACCGGCCCTCACACTCTCTGAGGGAGGAGGCGGTGGGGTCCTCACTGGGCCTAAAGAGGAGTTATGAGGAGCACGTCCCCTACACTCACATGAACGGGGCCAAGAAAAATGGACGGGCCCTGACTCTGCCGCGGTCCAGTCCTTCCTAACAGCACCTGCTTTGTGGGAGGGGCTCCCGACTTCACTCTCCTGGTTGGAAGGTATTCAGAAAACTCAGGATTTTCCCAAGACCCTGCCGGTGTCCAGTGGAGCTGAGAGATCATCCCTCTCCATGTCTGTTCATCGTACAACCTAAAACACATCTGCCTGATAGTTAGTCTGACCGGCGGTCGGAGAATGTGACTGAACATAGAGGGAAGGGGTTTCCACGGCTGCTGTCCTTGCCAACAACTGCAGGCTCAAGCCAGGATGTTACTTCTAGTTGTTGGAAAGAAAGCACCTGTTTTTTACAAAGGATTTTTTTGTGGGGATGGGGGGCTGGTGTCTGAGCTACAGTATAAACCATAAAACTTGTTTATGGAACAAAAGTTTGAAAGAAAGAGAAATATGCTGTTTCAGTAGAGTTTCAAGCTTTATGGAGTGAACTTTAGGAAGGTTTTTCTCATCCAAGCTGAAGAATTTTTTTTTTCCTTCACAAAAGTAGTTCTTCAAATGACCAATAGCTGCTGCTTTTGTGCTTTTGATAATCTGCGGTTCCAGTGTCTGTGTGTGTGTGTGCATGTGTGTTCAGGGCAGACAGGGCTGGTGTGTGTGTGTGTGTGTGTGTGTGTGTGTGTGTGTGTGTCTGTGCGCAAAGCACTCATGCCGAGGTGAAGCTCTGGGGATCGGCTCATGAAGGTTCTCCTTTTCCAAGCGTGTGAGCATCCCAGTCCCCCTCCTTCCTTCTCATTCACCAGAGACTGCGCCCTTGACACAGTCTCCTGTGTCCCTAGTCTAGCCTCCTAAGGGAGTCTTCTCTCCCTTAACTTTGGTGAAAAATATTTTTCCGGGAGCTGAGGGAGTGGTTTGGAGTGATAATGGATCTTTTAAAGACCAAACAAAGCCAGAACATACAAGAAAGGAAACGAAACAAAACTGAGATGGTAGAGTTTTGAGAATATATTTGTAACATATTTAATTTTTAAAAATCTCCAATTGGTCCCATAAGTTATTGACCGTTTCCTGGTTTGGGGACAGGGCTGATGGGTTGGTCTGCCTGTGTGGGATGGGGAGCGAGGCACAAGGGGCCTCTTTGCTTGGTCTTCAAGGCATCTATTTTTCTGGGAATAAAGCCACGTTTGCTGCTAACCCTTTTGGAAGTCACGAGGCCATGCTGAGGGCATGGACAGTCAGGTTTGATGGATGGTTAGGTTTCTGCTTGGTAAGCTAGCAGCCACCTGGAGATGAGCCCTATCTTCAAATACACTTGTGGCTCTTGGATCTCCTGCTTCCCTGTGTGCACCTCACGCTCTTCCTCAACTGAGGGTGCACATCCTCCAGTTGTCCTGCAGGCACGACAGAATCAGATTCCATGTATGCCGGCACAAATGGACGTAGAGGACACTTAAGCAATATGAAGCAAGAAGCACCTGTCTGTCCGTCCCCTCCATCCTCAGGGCATCCGACTGTCCTCAGAACTGGTTTCCCAGAAGCTGCTCTGTGCCAAGACCTCAGCTGGGCCAGGTGTGGGGCCTGAGCGGAACTCTCAGGTGCTTATAGTGTTGCAGCCCCAAGACAGTAGAGCCCAGGGGAGAAAGCACTAAGGACCTTCACACTCCCCAGAACCTCCGAACCAGCGTGAACCCACAGTTTCTTTCCTTTGGGGAAAAGAACCACGGCTGCTCAAATAAAGAACACAGTGAACTTGCTACTTTGGTTCGTGAGAATCATCACCCTGATTACCCCTGAGTGCATTTCCTCACAGGTTTTTGATGGCTTCCTTCTCTTCTCTTGAGTTGTGGGCTTAAGAACAGATAGAGACTCAATGCGACCTCTGAACTTTTCCTGATTAAGAACACAGGTAGACAAGAAACCCATTGCTCTATTTATAAGATTTGAGAAACTAGAGCATGTAAAATATTTCTGGGGAGCCTCTGTAGTTGGGTACAAGGAGCAAGAATACAGAAATTATTTTCACCAAGTTCATTCTATACATAGGAGAGGGTCTGTACACAAATTTAAAAAAAATACCACGTAGATCTAGATATTTAGTTCTTTTTATAGTGAATTTGTAGTGGCTCTAGACTACACTTGCAGCAATTTTCACGTTTTTCTAATTCAGAAAATTTTTCTTACATCAGGGGAAAATAATTTATTTTAATATAAAATCACTGTAAAAATCATTTTTCTAAAAAATGGAGTGCACATAAATTTTTATCAAAAAAAAAAAATAAACAGGTGAATGTGGGACAGTGATTCTTTTCCAGCATAGTCTACCTCAGTACTGTTAGGATGAGGTTCAATGATGGATGTTTTTGAGACTTCAGAATTCTGCCAGGATCTGATCTGAATCAGGAAAACTCCGTATCAGCTGATTCTGAATGCCAGGGACCAGTCAGAATTTTGAGGGAGGGGTTCGGGATAAAGTGCGGCCTTCTGTGAGCAGTAGATCCTTTTTTCTAGCAAGTAATTGTCTTCTCTGATTCTAATCGTTTTTTAATTTTTTAATTATTTTTTTACCTCTCTCCATTGATACCATGCTTCCCAAACAGGAACCGAGTTTTAGGTCATTGATGTGTGTTTGATACGTGGGGTGCCCGAGCCTGAGCTGCTCCTCTTGGAGGGAGTGGTCGCTCAGTCTCCCGCCGGGGGAAACGCAGGCTTTGCTGTGGAGCTGGCACCCCCTGTCCCACCGCATCCCTTTGGAGTGAGCGCCAAAGGTGCCCTCGTTGCTCCGTGACTTATCCCCACTACTTTCGGACTGAGATGCTATATTAGGTGGATCAAATGACACACAGGGGCACCTCATGCAGACATCCAATGCAGTATCTCCTAGAAGGCATGTCGAGAAATACCAACCCCACCAAACCCACCACACATTTTTTAGCAACAAAACCTGGCACCTCCATGTGGTGGTTTGGTGATCTCCAGCCAGTACCGTCCTGCCTGGTGGGGCTGTGTGAGCCCTGGGGGAGTCTGGACCGGGCCAGTGGGACTATTGTCGTTCTCATCAAACCTTACCGCCCTTGTCATACCTGCAGGCACTACCCCTGCTGACTCACCTGTCTCTGCTTGCCCTGGAGAGGTGGGGTACAGTGCTGGGTCCCCATGTGGACAGGGTTTCACAGACTTTTATAGGTGTCTCTGCTGTTGTAGTGAGAAGAGTGAGCAGCTGTTGCATTACAAACCTCCTTTTGCACCAGGTGATGTTGATTGTAACAACAGAACTTGGGCCCCAGGAAGTCATGGTTGTCCTGGGGGTTTGTAGCGATGGTAAAAAGCAACAAAGCCAGCCTAGGTTGACATTTTTTGTTGTTTGATTTTAAAGATCTCCCTATTATGAAAACCCTTTCCAGTCATGTAGTGAAATCCATGTAGTTTCTTCTGGGAAGAGAATACCAAACATACTGCTACTCCCTGGACCAGTGATGTCAAATGCACGTCTGGGAAGGTTCCTATTGGGGGAGCTGTCCAGGGTGCTGTCCTGTTGTTTCAATCCAGTAGGGAGGGAGAAATGCTGCCGGCTCTCTTGGAGAGATGTTGAGCACAACTGAGAGAAAACAGGGGAACTGGTGCAGGGCTCTGCACACGCAGCCCGTGACCATGGAGACTGCTGCCTCAGTGGACAGGCTGCCATGAAATGTGCTTGTCGGGTTGGAAGGTGTTTATTTGCAACCATAGTAACATTGGCCGGTGGACAGGGGCACTGCCAGGGCACGGTCCCTGCCAGCCCTCTGGGTAAGTGGATGTGCTGTAGTCCCAATGGCAATCATTTTCTACTTTGGTGGAAGTTTGGTATTAAAAAAACTTGTGGATGCCACTTGGTGAGTCCTTGACACCTCAGGCTATTCAGAAATTATGGTCTTTGTTGGGGGTGGGGAAATGCTGATTGTACATAAATGGGGCATGTAGAATGGTGTCCTTTCAGAAAACCTTCCGGAATGTTCTTTAGGATGTTGATTTACACCAGAGATGAGGCTGGGAATGGAAAGAACAGATTGGCATGTGTTCTTTTCAAACACGCAAAATAAGTTTCAGGGTCTGCAACTGAACGTGAACGTTTCCTTAGGGTCCTCCCCAGAAACAGAGGGGAACAACGACTTTTTCCCCTCACTGTCACCTGATTCCAGTTAAGGTCCAGAACCAATGTGCAGGCAGATTTTTATTTGGGCATGGGCCTTAAAAATCCTTGTTAAAAACCAGATCATGAACCTGAGACTCTTGGTTCCATTTGAGAAGGAAGGAGTAGCTCCCCAAGTGAATGTGTTCATGCACTCATCGAGAGACGGCGCAGTTTTCCCACTTTGTGTGTCTGGGTGTGGGGTGGCCTCAGCCCCGTGTGTCAGCGGGAGACACCTGTCCATGCTCAGCCTCATAGGATCAAATGTGCCTTGGCTTATGCAGAGAACAACTTGGAAACACAAAACACACCAATAGCTCGATTATTATTTCCAGTGTTCTCTTACAAGAGCCAAGTAATGCCATGTATAGAACATACCTTTTTTGGGGGGGGGGAGTTGAAATCGCTCTGCATGTAAAACATGGGGTAATTACCTGTTTATATGAAAATTCTGAATAAATTATGTGAGAAGAGTCTTGTTTTCGTGTGGTGTCCAAGCAAGGGCCTGTGAACTGCGTGGGGATGGGGCTGTGGGGCACGGCATGTGAGGGAAATCTCCCATAAAGTTGTGGGACGAACCCCTAGGTTCTTGAGCGAAGCAGGAGGTTAAATATTGTCACCGGTGGGTTGACAATCCACTGGTACCTACCTTGTACAGTTGAACTGGTGATTTAAATAACATGCTGTGCCCATAGCAGTTGGTATATAACTGCTCCCTCAATGACCCTAGACCTGCCATGATCCAAGCACTAAGTGGCTCATTCCAGGGGACCTCTGGCATCTTGCTCCATTTCAATGTGCTAGAGACTAACATGCTGAATATTTCACACCACTCCATCCTGGGAGCATGGACCTCTCCCCAGGGCGGGCAGCCAGCAGGGAACTGCAGATTGCAGGAAGGTTTCGAACAGCCTTCCTTGACCAGAATACAGATGCTGTGGGTAAGGAGACAGACTCTCTGCCTTCAGCAGCCTGAGTGGCTGCACAAGTCACATAATTTCTTGAGTGAGTTGTTGTGTAACAGTCCCAAAATTTAGTGGCTTAGAACAGCACGCATTTATTCCTCAGTTCCATGTGCTGGTGAGGCAGTTCCCGTCAGTTTCCCTGCTGTGCCTGAGGCCGACTCATCTTCCAGGAGGCTAGCTGGGACTTGTTCGCAGGGTGGGGGTTGCAGCGTGCCCTTGGACGGAGAGTAGGCTCCAAATGGGCAAGCACTTTCCAACGTTCTGCTTGTGTGGTGGTCGCTCTTGTCCTGTTGCCTAAAGGCAATGACATGGATGGGCTGGGTCAGCGAGGTGTGGGAGAGGGGAGGGGCCGTAGGAGAGGGAACCAGCTGGGAGTCAAGTCCTGCAACAATCACCTGAACTTCTCACCTATCTGTCTGGGACTGAAGATAAACTTACTTCCTGTGGCCGCAGTGAAGATAATTGAGGTAAGGCTTATTCTTCACGATCCTCCCAGTATGTCCTCCCCACACCCCACACCCCTCCAAGTTTCCTGTTCTCCAAGAAACTGATGCAACTGCTAATTGGGGGTGGCCGTAGCCTGAAATATGCCTCCCCAGGGGGATGAAATTCAATAGAAACCTCTTGGAAGATAAAAATGCTTTTCTCCCCAGCAAGGACTCTCAAGGGATGCTTGAGTCTCAGGATGAGCATGTGGGTGGGTGGTCTGTTTGTCCAGAGGGGCCACTCAGGCCCCTCAAACTCCTGGCCAAGTGACAGCCGTGCCGCTTTAGCAGGGTCCCTGGTCTGGAGTGGCAGGTGCTTGTCCATGGGGTTCTACAGCTTCATCCTGGCTCTTGAATGGCAGAGGTGCAGCTTCTCAGAGTCCCGCCTGTTAACAAGGCAGGTATGTTCCTAGGCTGCCCCCAGGCCCCTCAGGGGTCACTGCGGGGGCGGGCTCTGGGCCTCGGTGTCTAAGGGCTCCCCTGCCCCCAGTGGGCCAGGCTGGTTCAGTTTCTGGTTTTGCTTGCCCGCCACTGGAAAAGTTTTGTTTGATTTAGTGTTTCAGGCCTCCTGTCCAGAAGTCTCACATGGCGTTGAGTCTCTACTCTGGTACGAGGAGCTGTAAGGACTTCCCGTTGTTCCGGTTCCTCATTTGTAAGGCAGGGGTGATAGCGATCCCTGCTTTGTGGGGCCATAATGGGAAAAACTGAGCTTGTCTTTGTAAGGCATGCAAAACAGTCTGGCTGAGCAAACCCATGGTTCATTTTTAGGCACCCCACGCCCATTAGGACCGCGTGTTAGAACAAATCCATGCCCCGAATACTGCTGACTATAGAGGGCTCCCAATTTTTCCTTTTTTAAAAAAATTTTTGTTGCGATTTTGTAACAGTTGGAATGAGTCATATTCTGGTACATCGTTTTTGGTGCACAGGGTGATGAGGGGGCGAGGACCTGGTTTGGCATGCTGTTGCTCTGGGACTGGGTCCTGTGGTCAGCTGACATGTATGTTGAAAGGGAAGGAATCTCCTGACTGGGCAGGTAAAGCAATTTGCACCCTAAGGATAATCAGTATCTGCAGGTTACAGAATAAAGCGCTGACCTCTCAGTGTCGTTCCAATGGAAAAGGAAACTTGGTTTGTGGTTTTAGCATGAAACACTGCCGTCTTTAGGGCATATTTAGGAATTAAAAAGGACACTAGAGGTTTTTTTGTTTGTTTGTTTTCGTTTTTGTTTTTTGTTAGCCTTTGGAAAGATGTATCAGAGTTGCAGAAAGTCTTAATTCAAATTGGATAGAGCAGCAAATTTCAGCCGGTGTGCTGCAAGAATTTGTAAAACAGGCAATACCTGGCTATTTAGTCAGGGGCACTGACCTCTTTTCCCTTAGGTTGTCCAATAAAATAATGACAACAGCCAAGGCAAAAATACCCATCCATTGTGAATGAATCAAAACTATACCTATTTTTTGGTCGGATCGGCAAAAAAATATATTTTTGGTGTGTCACAGAATTTTAGTAATTTATGTGTGCCGTGAGGTGAAAAAGGTTGAAAATCGCCGGGCTAGTGGAACTACACAGTCACAATGCTGAAGATCTTCCTGGCTTTGTTTTGGCCTTGTGCTCTCCTCTCTCATAGCAGAAGGGTGAAGAATGCTGGTTTTGGAGCGAGACTGTCAGATTCTGAATTCCTGACCAGTTGTGTGACCTTGGTCCCTCTCTGACTTCCCTTATGGCTTAACCCCTCTCTGACCTCGGGTCCTCCTAAAAGCACACAGCGAGAACAGAATCAGGTGTGTGGATAAAGATGGAGACAGCAGAAGTGGTCCTCGGTGCAGTTCTGCAAAGTCTCTCCCAGGCCGGTGGGCACCCCACAGCAAATACTGCCTGTTGGAAGATTCTGACCCAGGATAGAAGAGAACCCGTTCTGGTGCTCTGCTCAGGCTTGGTCATAGCTGGGGGCTGCCTGGGGACGCTGTGGCTTTGGGTGAGCCCTGCAGTAGGTCTGAACGCAGGCAGCTGGGAGTTATCAGCTGACTGACACCCAACAGGTTCCCCTGAAGGGAGGTCTGGGCAGTGCACCTCCCTGAGGGCCATTAGCAGGGCTGGGATCTCTTCCCCATGGGAGGCTGGGAAGGTGGCGGGAGGCAGCACCTGAAAGCCCCGGCACAGCGCCAGGCTGGGAAAGTGGGCATGTGTGTCCCATTTTCTATCCCCCTGGGGAAGTGCAAATTAGGAAAATGTTACTGTTTTATTCACTCGTCGTTTATCATGAAGGAGGTTTGGATTTCGATTAGAGGCTGAGCTGATGTCCTCCGTTTCCCCTTTCACAGGTCCCTCTCCATGCTTCTCCATGCTGTCCTCTGTCCCTGGGCTCTGACTTCCGATGGGTCCTGCCAATGGCTTTCTTTCCCCCTCCTCCTCCTCTGTGGGGAGCCTGCAGCGCAGAGGATGGGGAGGCAGGACTGTGGGGGCAACGTGGCGATTCCTCTTGTTCACTCTTGCACCACATTTGGTTTCTGTAACTTACAACAACAGTTTCTCATGCTGCGTGGCCATTGCAGGTTGGCTGTAGCTTTGCTGCATGTCCTAGTCACTAGGGATTCTAGGTTTCTGAGGAGGACAGAGGACTGGAAGAGAGAAGGCACGCATGAAAGAACATGCTCCATTCTGGAATGTCTATCTCTGGATTTCTATTATGTTTTTTAGCAGGAGGATTGTAGGGGAACTCTTTCATATGACCAAATCTTTTTATATATGTTTAAATCAGGTGCTCACCTCTTCCATGCAGAAATGGTCGCTAGAGAGGCAGCTGGAACAAGACACAGGCCATACCAAAGGCTCTGAAGGGAATGTATGCGGTGTCTGTATTAACCATGGTTTTTATTTTCTGCAATTTCATAACCTTGGACATCTTGCTGATGTACCATAGGTAGCTAATTTCTTTAGAGCAAAAGCATCTGACTCAGAAGCAGGCATTGCAGTTAGTTCTCCTGCCTCCTTTGTCTCCTAGGTATCAGAACATGGGTCCAGGCTTCTCTTGATCTCGTGGGCTTGACACCCTGGAAGAGTAGAGGCCCATTACTTGGCAGAATACCCTCAATTTAGGTTTTATTGTTTTACCATGATTAAATTTAAGTTTATTATGAAATTTTCCCCCAAGAAAAACACAGAACTGATGCTGAGTTCTTTGCTTTGCATTCTAACAGGTGGTGCATGGTTTAAATTTGTCCCTTTAATGATGATGGTCACTTTAATCATTTGACTAAGGTGGTATCAGCCAGACTTTATTGTAAAATTACTTTTGTCCCCTTTGTAACTGACACATATTTTGTGGAGAGGTACTTTAAAAGTATGAAAATAGCCTATTTTTAATGGAAATTTCCATTCATTTATTCATTTAGATCAGTATGGATTCATGATTCTTGTTTTACTCGTTGGATTATAATCCAATGTTTTTATCATTTATCTTGATGATCAAATTGTCTCCAATTTGGCAACTGGGAGCCTATTCAAACTGGCTTCTGTGTCCTTTAGACACACCCCTTTTATTCTTTGAGCACTTTTATTTTATGGGTTAGCAATATATTCTAGGTTTTACCTTGTACTTTCCTTTCATCAGCATGGAATCAGGCATTTCTTCAAGGAAATCTGATCTCTGTTGGTGGGAAAGGGTGATTTAGAAGCCAAGGCCTGGTGCTAGATGTGTTCATTGCTGTTGGGATGTTGCTGGACAGTAGACAGCATGTGCATGTACAGGCAGACCCAAGTTCACCCCAAATTCAATCTGTACTTACCTCTATCCAGGGTGGTCAAAGGTAGGCTTACAGTTGTAAGTACGTGAAACACAGAGCTTATTCTTATATTATTACCTATTAATTGTAATTTTCCCATACAAACAACTGTATATCCATTTCTGTCCCATCCTGTATACTGAAAACTGTGAGTTTACACTGATACCAGTCCACACCTAATTCCAATACAATGCGTTTTCATATTGTTCTCCAATAGAAGAAGCCAGGCTT